ATTCCTGGTAGCGTCTCGCGCGGTCGTAACTCGAGGCATCATGGCGGGACTGAAAACGCCTAACTCATGAACGAGTCGCATATAAGTCCACACGCGGCCTTCTCTAAGAACTTGCCTCGGTACGCGGACACCTGCAATGGCGCACGTGCAATTACCGCTAATTAAGAGGCTCGAGATTCATAATAGACAGAGGCATAACCTCGAAAGCCGACCGACTCTCCGCTTCTTCTCGTAATGGGACCCGCTAATTCCAGGGGATGAGGCGACTCGGACGAGTCTCCTTTTTTTTCTCTTTTTTTTCCGCCTTTTTCCACGGATTCATCGGGTCGCATCCCCTCGTCGCTCTGGTGGCCTCGTTTGGACGCGTCCTCGAAATGGTTATTCATCGCTACAACAAACTAGCCGTTGTACAGGACAATTTTTCTTCGGTACTTCCGCTGGGACAAATCGAGGACAGAATTCATGAGCCGGCTGATAGCGATATAATATTATTGGGTAATTTTCAGGGTAATCGCACAATTAATTAACCGTTCGGTGAAGCGAGCACAAAGGGTGCCGTTAATCACGGACGTTCATTTTCCCGAGAAATGCGACGCGGTGACATTAATCCACCACTTGGAATAATTTCGAAGATTCGGCCGAACGAAAAACGTTGCACTCTTTTTGATGCAGTTTCTCGGCCGTGTTTTTACCCCAGTGGGGAAGAAAAAAGCAAAAAAGGGGTAAAGGGGGTGATGCCGGCTCGGACATTGAGCGCCCGGGTGTTTCGCGGAGGCTCGTAGAAGGTGAATGCTTGCTTGCTTGCTCTACTTGCATCTTCCTCCCGGTCCACCTCGTCTATATTCCTCCTTGTCTGGCCTCTTCCTTTTGAGAGGCCGCTTCTTATATCCCGTCCGTCTCTCGGACCACTCCAGAACCCGTCCTAGACTGTCATTAACGCACCGGAATATCCGGTCTTTCCGAGCCATGGTGTGCACCCCCCATCGCGCACGGGGCTTGTTCAATTGTGCCTTTAAGGTGATACGAAAGCGTCATATATACGTACCAAAATGTTAAAACGTTTATCAAATTTTTCTCCAAATAGGGTGCAATGAGATTTCATTTTTCAATAATTTCTTTGTAAATATCTCTAAATATATTTAGAAAAAATGAAATTTTATTAGGGTCAAAACCTTCCTTACAGCCTGCACGTTCGCGTTGTAAAGTTCGAAACGATTCGGTTTACTCGATTCGGTGGAAAGCATCATAAACGAGACGTCTGGCGCATTTTCACTCCCCGTTAACGGTGGTATTACGAATTTGTAGATTCATGAAAAATGAATGAACGGAAGACACGGAGGTGATGGACGGGCAAGTACGTTTAGTCGGCTCGATTGAGAATATCCATCGGCAGAATGTGAAGTAACGTAATAGAAAAAAAAGTTGTAGCGTCTTGCGGGGAGACAGCTTACTGACGGAACAACGTTGAACTTGAATCGCGACTCGTTTGGACCGATTCCAGGTGGCTCGGGGTACTTCCTTTTCTTTGCCAGCCACCTTTCCGTATTCCTTTCCGACACTACCAGACCACCCGAGAACCAGTCCCGGACTGTCAATGCACCGGAATATCCGGTCTTTGCTGCACCCTGATAGCATCCTCCGTCTTGAACGAAGCTGGTCCGAGTGCATCTTCGCTGACGAGTCTTTGAACCACTCTTCGGAATCCGTGATTTTGTTAAAAATAAAACTTTTCTCCAAACTGGGTATACCGAATAATTTGACTAAATGCCCAATGTATTGTGCAGGTCTTATCTCTCACTCCGAGATTAAGTTTCAATCTTTTTTTTAAGGATATAACGGTGATACATTATGTAACATGTCTGATAAACGGGATGATGGGCTTAGTACCTATACTACCTATTTCTTTAATTAATGTTAAGGCCAGTAAATCAGCTGTTGGCACAATTAGATAAATAAACGATACGTACTATCTTGACAATGTTAATATACGAGGAACGCTGAAGATTGCGTGGATTAAAGTTCGACGTTAGGATATATGTAAAGTTTATGTAAAATTTATGTTAAACGTTGGGAGAATCTTCTTGAAGATCTCTTTTCTCGGTACTATCAGCCGACTCGATGGAGTTTCGCGCCATTGAGCTACTCCCATCGGATTCCTTTCCGATACCCCCATAATCTTATCGGCTACTTTCCTGCTCTCCCTTCGAGCTATCTCGATCAGGTGTCTTATCATCGACTACGGTGTCGTCTTGAAATACCATACCTCGACGTAGGGACCGATCGAAGAACGCTCTTCCGAGCTTTGGAAGGCACGTATACGATTATCGAATTTTCGAGTAGACACGAGAACAAAGGGTTCAAACTATAATTTCAACCTAGTTTCACGCTTTACAGGGCGAACATAGAGGCTGTAAGGAAGGACCTGACCCTCGTGAAATTTCAATTTTTTTTTTTTTTTTTAATAATTACATTTATAAAGAAATTTTTGAAACATTGAAATTTCATGGGCGTCGGGACCTTCCATATTTACATTGCGAAGTTTGAAACGATTCGGTCCAGAATTGGATAAAATTTGGATAAATGATCTCTTTGGCGCCACTTTCACGTCACCTTAAGGGAGGACGCGGTGGAGGCGCTTCGAGGGGGAAAGTCGAAGGAATCCGAAGATTACGAAAGACGGAGGTTTTGCGAGCACTTAACCTTCGTGCTCGCAAAGTGGCTTCCAGAAGGCCATTGGACGTCTCGAACGCGAGGCGGCGCTGGCTGATCTTCCTCTCTTTAATCGGAACACTTCATGGCGGCTCCAGGATCGTTCGTTCCACCGATCCACCTGGAAGAACGGCATTCCACGATCCAAACTGACCGTACCCAGTCCTGTACCAGTTTCGTTCTACCGTCTCTCCTGAAATTTACCAACTTTTACCCGAAAGAGAAAAAAGATCCGTGATAAGAGGCGGCTCGAAGGAAGAAATTCGCCGGACGAATTATCGCGATTTCTCGGGGTCTCCACGCATTTTATGAAAAATTTCATTGAATCAAAGAAATATTCCATTGATGTCATATGATTAACAACAATGCGATTCGATAACAGGTGACGGTCGGGCTGACAAATTATTGCGATGTTTCGGTGATTTCCAAGTGAATCTTATTCTCAGCGTCTCGGTCCCACATCCCTCGTGGGAAATGGAAAAATCGTTTCCACGAACGCCGGGAAAATCGGTGACGGTGGGAGCCTCGATCCGGCGTTCCTTCTTGCCACGAAGTGCCTATATCTGGCCCGGCAGCATTCCTCCACCAACGGGGACTTCTCTTCTTCCCCCTTATTTCTTCTTATTTCACCTGCCCGCTCTCTCTCCCACCCATTGATGGCGCCTCCTGCCCTCTCTCTCTGCTCCGTTCCTCCCCCCCCCCCCCTCGGTCTTCTCTCTCTCTCTCCTCATTACGTTACGGGCTTTCTCAAAATAGCGATGCCCCTCGGCGTAGCCTCCTCCTTTTTCCTCGACCTATCCTCGTCTCTCTCGCGTTTGCACGCGATTCCGGTATATTTCATAAATACGTTTATCGCCATCCGAGTATTACGCGAGCCGATATAAATAGAGACGGTATATATTCAGTGACGTCACGTCACTCCCACGCAGGAGAAGATACGTTATCCGAGCAAGGGGTTATTCGGGATAGGGTAATGTCGTGGTGGAGTAGGAAATTGTTGTCACCTTCGGGGGAAAAAAAAAATAAAAAACTGGTTAATATCCCTACGTTGAGAAAATCCATCCGGAAGAAATATTTTTGTTGGTTCTAAGAATGATTATTTTCATCGAGTAAACTGAAATAGTCGTTGTTTCGGGGAAGCGGTTTTTTTTCCGCTCGTCCGAGGTTCTCGCTGAAATGCTTGCTCGCAAATCCTTCCTGGCAGGCTTCACGTAACTCGTGTAATTCTCGTTCTCGTACACAGGACCGACATTTGCTTCTAGCTGGAGAAGAGAAGCAGCGGTACTCCTGTCTTCGGGACATATGGCACTCCGTTTACACGCGTAATTCCATTCCACTTCTGGTAAACGATGGTCGCGACCTGAAATCGTTGCAGATCTCTCTTTGTTGCTCCTCGGAGATTGCATCCGTGTCTCACCTCGTAGCCAATGATAAATTTGGATCAATCGCCCATTGCCCACTCTTCTATTGATTTACCACCGAGCCCACTTGTCATTACGAGTTTCAACGAGCGATTCCTATCGATTGATAACCTTCGATGTAACCCCCGTATCGAAATCGGTGTAACCGTCTTCTCCACCGCAGATTTATTTCCGTCGCGCCGAGGCGTCTTGTGACGTATAATGCGGTTGTACAATGTCATTTACGTATGTACAAGTACTAATACTCGTGTCTGCTTGCCGATTGGATTTGTAATGGCTTCGCAAATTGGGCCAATCGATGATCGCTGCCCGACATACCGAATGTACGTGTGCGCGGAAAGCGTTTCGCACACTCGACAAAACCTACTCGGATTAACTTCGCTCCGTCGTCGGGATTACTTTTAAATTTCTCCCTTTCGGTTTGCACTTCGAGTTATCAAGCACGAGGAGTACAAAGTCGGCAGGTGGAGTGCTGCTATTCCCTCTCGGGTGCCATCTTGCGTTGAGTTCCCTCATCACGGAGCACCTCTTGGGAGGCACGCGCTTTGATTTACAATGGGCGTGGCATTGCGATATCATAAGACCGGTTTAAAACTGATTTATTAGCCGATCTTCGTCTTTTTATGCCTGCGTTCTCATGAAAAGTGCGGAACCGCCGATAAAAAAGGTGTCCATTGAAATCCTCCGCGGTCTTAAATTAACTTCGAGCCCCGTAATTTCATTTTCCCGCTTCTGAGAGGCTAGGACCGCTGTTCTTTTTATATCGCTTGATATATTAATATCTGTGAAGTTTATAGTTTTCTTCTCGCAGAAAGTACTAAAATCCCGTAAAATCTGTAAAATTTGTAAAATCCGTATTTTTTGTTGCAGTCAAGGAAGATTTCACGTCCTAGGTTAAGATGTCACACCACAGCGACGACAATATGCTTATAGCAACCTCGGATTCCTTTTGGGAGCCGGGGAACTATAAACGCACCACAAAGAGGATCGAGGACGGCCATAAGCTGTGCGACAGCCTAATCGCCCTCGTGCAGGAAAGAGCAGAAATCGAAAAGAATTACGCGAAAGCTCTGAAAGGATGGTCCAAAAATTGGAACGATAAAATCGAAAAGGGCCCGGAATACGGGACGACGGAGGCTGCGTGGAAAGGCGTCCTGGTGGAGGCCGACAGATTATGCGACTTGCATCTCAGGGTAAAGGAGAATCTCTGCAACGACATTATACACCAAGTCAAGACGTGGCAAAAAGACACGTACCACAAGGTAATCGGATCCTACATTTTAGTCGGATTAGAAATTTTATTACCGAAATGTAGCGCGTTGGAGAGCAACATTGAAAATGTAGGGATGAATAGGATATCTGTGATCTTAATTGGTTAATTTTGTAAATGGGCATTTAACTTGCTAAAGAGATCGATCGAAATACCGATTAAGCTCTGCGCTTCTATCCGGCTGGTAAGAGGAGAGTGAATGGTCATACTTCTGTCTTTTTTTCCCCTTAGTCCATGATGACTCTGAAGGAACGGAAGGAAATGGAGGATGCCTTCAAAAAGGCGCAAAAACCCTGGGCGAAACTTCTGCAAAAAGTCGAGAAAGCCAAGATGGAGTACCACAACAGCTGTAAAACCGAAAGGACCGCGGCTAATATGGAACGGAACGCGTTAGCTGACAGTTCTCTGTCACCGGATCAGGTACTACGATGTACTTTTGACATCTGTCATTTGAATATGAAGAATACCTTATCGCGGCACCCCGACTCATCCCGCCGACCATCGTTCACTTTCACCGAAGTAATCCCGATTGCATCTAGTCGTCGCCGTTGCTTTCGAAAAATATTTTCAAGGAAGCCCCGACATTTACGGGATTTATTTTCTACATTCCCGGGACGCCTTAAGGGGATGTGAAAGTGGAATCCTCTTCGACGCCACTTCCCCATTGCCTTAACTGCCCATTAACAAACCGTACACATCCAGAGTACGATTTTTCGACCGTATTAAAAATTCTTCTACTATCTGTAGATGTCGCGAAGAAAATATTCGGAAGTAATTGCGGCTTATCCTACACTGTAAGAATTTGCGTAAACGCACGCGTAATTGTTGCCCATACTCATTTATATCTGCTCACTATAAGTGTAACATAATTTGCATAATTGTCACGTTCACCCACGCGATGCTCCGATCACGGTAGATAACGGTTGTTTATTAGCAAAAGGATTCTTTGCAGATGGCCCGAGGCTCCGAAAACGTATGTTAAAATCTGTTGTCTCGTATTAGACGACTATGCATGTCAATTTTGAATTTCATTCCGTCGTCTATCCGTGTTCTTTGGATGCGAATTTACTCGTGTGACTGCACGTCGTTCATGGATGTTCGTAGATGTTCACGGATGTTTGTAGGCGTGATCCTAGCCAGGATGGTTGTGACCGAATTTTATCCAATTCGTAAATTACAAAAACCTGAAACTACACCGAAAAAAAAAAAAAAATTAATGAACCGCAGAAATATTTCTTTGAACAGTATCTAAGAAATATGTTGTCAATTCAAAGACTAAAACTACGTCGCCGATATAAAATCGACCAAATTGTTTTTGTTGTTTCTCGGCGTAGAAAAGTGACGAATCGAGAAGAAAATTGAGATATGAAAATTATCACCTTTTCGTTCGTGTTAATGGCAATATTATAACTTACACTTTATTGGAATCGCGGCTCAAAATGCATCAGCACCCAATAAACCCAAGAACGGGAAGAGAAAGGGCTATTAAACGTTCACCATAAACGGATGATGTTTTATACAGAAGAATGTTACATAACCATAACGTGCATTCGTATGTATACCGTTATTATACCGTGTTTACAGAATTTAGTATATTATTATGTTTACTGCGGGACTATTAAACGAACGGCGGTGTATTCTGCTGTATAGTGCATTTATGTGCTTGTGGTAAACGTGAAATACCCCTTATTTATCCTACTCCGTATTTATCGAGCCGTTAGGTGTTTATTCGTTACTGCTATTCAATTATAATTCTGGCAATAAAATTATCCCGGCCGAGGCTGAATAATAATTTCCGCGGGAGAGAAAGAGTAATAAACTAAAATTGGATAAACCATTCGGATGTTGCGACTCGATTCGGTTTTACGTTATCCGACACGACGTGTATTATACATTTTTTCATTGTTAGGAGTGGTTATAACCACGTAATGGTAGGTGACATTGTCGTGTGCATAATTAAAGTATCGTCGAAAATGACGCAGATAAGGGTAGGTTCTAAAATCATTCTGGTTTGGTCGTGCAAGCATCGTATATAGTTGTTCACGGTTGTACACACGGGTAATTTAAATTGCTATAGGGAAGGGAAGCCTATCGTTAATCGGTAAATTCGATAATGTTTCGAGCTCAAGATCTTTATATCAGGACCTGTGTGTACGGCCGTTTTCACGTAACCATGGCAACGTTTAGACGCGTTCCATTTTGAAGATTTGCAATCGGTGGATATCCAGGATCGCATTTTCGGCGTAAAGTCGATCCGGATGTTTCCTTAAGTCGTCTCAGGGTGGCTAAAAGCAGCCTAACGACGTTTTTGTAGATGTCGAAGGCCGGATGTGGTGCATGGGGCCTCAGAATACAAAAGTGCCTTAGGAATTCTAAGATAGGCGACGTTCAGCTTGTATGTATATAACGTTTGCGTACGGCATGATCTTTTAATACGTGTCTTTTCTCTCTTTTTCCGTTACAGAAAGCACTGCTGGTAAGCGATTTCTAGATCCCAAAGATCCTTCCCTACCCCCAAGGTCTCTCGAGTTTGCACTCCCAGCATCGCCTATCCCGTAGAATGGCTTTCGCGTCCGCCTCGGTTGTTCCGTATCTCTGTGTTCTCTCGTCTAGGTGTCCCAAGTATAACGTATTTCTTTTTTTATCGTCTGCGACAATTTTTTTTTTAACGTCTATGATGGGAAGCAGTAGGTCTGGGACTGCATTTCGTAGTGCTCGTTGCACCTGGTGGCACCTGTTAAGGCGGCTTCTTTTTTTATGAGGCACGCATCCTTGCATACGTATAGACCGTACCCGGATGCATTAAGCTGAAGGCTGAAGCCGACCATGACCTTCCTCTAGGATGGAGGGAACTGTTATAAATCTACTATCGTGTTAAAAAGAAATTTCAAAAAAATATCGAAAATCATTTATGTCCGGTTTAAGAGGTGCATCATTTTCGTCCGCAGTCGTAAAAAGAATCAACAGTGAAATCGAACATTATTGACAGTTCCCAATTTTTATGATCGCTTTTTGTCAAGTTTCTCAAATTTATTAAAGGTACTTTTCTCATTTTTTTTAAGCGGGTTTTGCATCTAATCACTGTAGTAGATACTGAGTGATAACGGTCTCCTTCAGTTGAATGCTCTGGTGGAATTGCACGGATTATATTTCCAAAATTGCTATGTGGTGCTAAAGACGATCACCGGTTTTAATAATTAGGATCAGTTATGATCATTGCTAGAAATCCATTTAAAAAGAGCCGAAATAATTTTGCTATTGAATTAATAATATGAACATCAATGTCATTGTAGTTTTAGTCCCGTTATAAACTTACTATAAATTGCATCGGGGGAGAATATTTTGTGCTATCCTGTACAATGTAATATTTTGGGACAGCTTTTAAAATAATCATGGACCATGCAACGAATTCTAAAATTGTACATACATATTTTGTTCGCGCAATTTATACTACGCTGTGTATAATTTCGGTTGCAACAAATACTGTATATATAAAGTATTCAATACTAACATTGTGAAGAATTTTGGGCAATCACGGAAAATTAATACATGGAATTTCTTTTTATGGGAACAGCAGTACTAACGTCTAACTATGTAGATAATAAATAATTTTTGTTGTAAAGAATTATCGATTACCCGACTATCCACAAGACGCAAGTACGGTGGTTGGCTTTATTTAAATTGCGATATCTAATTGATCAGGAAGTATCAACTTTAATTCGGATCAACAAATCTTTCATGACATCCGTCCGAATACCTTTAACGCGATCGAAGTATTCAATTTACATTATTTAACATAAAAGATTGAAGAAAAGTCAATTTTTTTTACGTTGCTCGATGGTACCAAGAAATACAACAGCTGCTTAATTTACAATTAACGGGTACGTAAAAGAAGGCACGATTATAAAACATAATCGAAATGAAAAGTCTTGAAGAGACCGGATGTCCGTAAGATAGATTTCCAAAATTCTGCAGCAATGATCGAAATTATTAAACCCGGATCGTATACCGCACTTGGGCTCTTTCGGAATCGATCTCGCTGATTCGTCGTGGAGGACGATTTCGAGGGTAAAGAGGGTTTCCCTTTCTTCTGCATATTTTCTATTTTACTTTTTTTTTTTCCGCCGTAACAATCCTCCGTTGGAATATTCTAACTAATTTCCCCCAAATGCCTTTACCCTCGATCGTCGGTAACGAATCTCTCCCCTCGACCCGAAGAAGAAAAGATAGAGGACACTTCTCGGGTTTGACAGGTGAAGAAGATGCAGGACAGGTTGCAGAAGACCAAGGAGGAGGTGCAGAAGGCCAAGGAGAAGTACGAGGCCGCTTTGCAGGAGATCAACCAGTACAACCCTAAGTACATGGAGGACATGACGCAGGTCTTCGAGAAGTGCCAACAAATGGAGGCTCAGAGACTTCAATTCTTCAAGGACGTGCTCTTCGGGATTCATAAATGCCTGAATATCTCCCAAGACACCGTGTAAGAGTTTATTCATCTATAATTATTAAAGGGTCATTGGAAAAAAAAATCCCAATATTCTCGTCCTTGATTATATATTTCTTGTACATTAATAAGATAATTCAAGGAGTGCTCGATTCGAAGAAGCGTACCTTCAATGTCTTTCCATTGAAGTACATTACTTAAATGTTTTAAAGTTACGTACATTTTATTTTCCAGGCTTCCACAAATATACGAAGAGTTCTACCACACGGTCAATAATGCAGACCATGATAAGGATCTGAAATGGTGGTCCAACAACCATGGCGTCAATATGGCCATGAATTGGCCCCAATTCGAGGTAATTCGGAAGGAACTGGAAGGTCTTGTCGTTCGCATGATCATCCCTGCTCATGATTGGACCCTTCTTCGTCGTAGAGAGGAGAAATAGCCAAACGTAGAGTGGTGTGAACCATTTGAGCATTAATGTCTACAATTTCAGTTGCACCATGCTGTCGGATGCAGTTTGAAATTCAAACCCGACCCCTTACATGGTGTAAGATGGAGGCCCCATTATCTACTCCATTTTTTTTTAATCATAAAACATCCTTATTGTTTTGCTTTCGCCTATCGCATAACCGACACAAAATTGTCATATGTGCACTAGCATACCTTAACCAGGGTATAAAAAAACTAAGATCTCAAAGCTAGACATTAACAATCCTCTCATGACTGGTTGAACAGCCGAGAATTGCTATCTTATTTTTTGCTGAAAAATCTACCGATTGAGTTACGACAAAAGTACATAATTAAGATATACAGAAATCCTTCTTACTCCATGTATTGCTGCACTGATAAAAATCGATGGAAATTTACGTACATTTTTATCAGTGCGCTTCACGACGTACCGAGCACGGTGTAAGAAAAAGTGTAAAGGGCAAAATCAGTTGCCACGTGACTCCAGATCCTTTTGTATATTTAACAATCACCATTGGTACCGATATCCCCATTTTAAACGAGATGTACAAAACATGGAGATTCATTTCTCTGCCCCTTCTTCTTACACAGTGATCCAACGTGTACGTTGTACGTCTCGTATACATCCGCGATGCATCATGCTTCGTTATACATACGTACATAATATATACACATCTATATATTTTATTTTCTATGGAGACTAGATGCATCGTTACATTGTTCAGCGTAGCTATACACGTCGGAATGCGTGCATGTGATTGTGTGAGCGTTGCTATATTATGCAGGATTACACGGAGGAGTTCCGTGACATCACCAAGGGCTCCAAATCGAAGGAGGCGTTGCCTGCTGGGTCCATCACTTTGATCAACCAGCGACCGGTTGGCGAGGATCTGCATGTAAAGTTTCTGTTTCCATTTTACTCGACAACCCCTTCTTCCGCACTTTTTTTCCGACATTTTGCCTCCCCCCACGGTGACGCATTTTGCTCCTTGCAACTGCACTGCAAACGGAGCTTCGAATAAATTCAACTTCCAATTATCATTAATTTCAACTTACAATTTTCCTTTTTGGATGGAGAATGTACCGATAACTCGTGACTAATTTTTGTGAACGAAACGATTCCGCAAAATTGATCGTGAATCGAAACGAGTAACTCGACTTTTTGAATCATCTCGCAGACAAGTGGCGCTTGCTGTTATTGAAATTATTAAAAGAATTTTTTGCGTTGCGCAGAATTGACTCTTTGTTGTGACTGGCTTTGATAGCAGCGAAAGAGATTCCTTTCGTTTCGAGTTATCTATGCAAAACACGAGACCGTGGATGCTTATTCTTTAGGCTTTTTATGCAACGCAAGTGAAATCGCGCCTCCGAGTTATTATCATTTTTTATTTAATTATTGAATTATCATATTTACCCAAAAGAGTTTTAGTTGTTTCATCGGTTAATAAAACCTTGCCGTTTATTTTCGATGGATCAGTAGAGACAACGATGTTAGAAGTCACGTTCACTCTGCATGTTTAATATTCCGTCATTCCTCGATTATATCAGCTTGATAGTCAATAATTATTTCAGAGGATCCGCCTCTTAACGCTTATTTTTAAAGTTGACTTTATTTGTCGCATCGTCCATCGAATATTAAATAGTTTTTTCACGTGAGCATCGTCTTTGCAAGTGGCATATATATCACGTGGAGAGGTAGATAACTAAAGCCATCTAGAAAAAGAGAATTGTAATTCTTCCGGTCGCGTAATATATTTTTACGGTTATTATCTTTGCTTATCGGCGTTTTATGTCGCTACAGGAATTCCCCCCTGTGAATCACAAGTCAAAGGCAAAGCCCGCCGGTCGGGTGATATCGACAGATCACGGAGACGACAAAACCGACGCCATTGTTGGATCCGGAAAACAGAATTCCGAAAAGAATAGCCACGAGAGCAGTACGGTCAACAGGACTTCCACGATCACGTAAGTTTTTCTTGTAATTAAAAAAAAGAAACGAAAATTGCGTCTAGCATGTAATAACGCGTTTTTGGTCATTTCAGGAATGGAACTGGTGCCAAACAAGAATCGAATCCCTTCGAAGAGGAAGAATGGGACGAGGATGGTGGAGAACCTTTGGTAGACGACGGAGAACCCGGAGTTCCCGTCAGAGCATTGTACGATTACGAAGGTGCCGAAGCTGACGAGCTCAGTTTCAAACAAGGTATTTAATTAATAACAATTGCCGGGTGCAAGCTATCCTCTCCAAGCAATTGCGCGAAAACCGAATCTTCCGATTTTGCCTCTCTGATGGCATAATTAACTAGCTGTGTCGTCAAGAATTGCGTTTGAAAAAAAATAATTATGAATGGGAAGTACAACAAAATAAACTCCGTGTTTAACGCGTTCAATTATTGGAAGGGTAAATTGACCCATCGTCAAGATGGCTTCGTTAGTCCTCGGCGGTTATCATTGCTAGATTCTCTCGTCGCAAAATTCAATAAAAACATATTAATTAATTCGCAGGTGACATCTTCGAGAAGCTAGAGGACGAAGACGAGCAGGGTTGGTGCAAGGGCAGGAAGGACGGAAGGGTCGGCCTCTATCCGGCAAATTACGTGGACCTAGTGTCACAGTAATAAAAAGGACCTAAAAGCCAAAAGGTTGGAGAAACGCATTATGTCTAATCTCGATCGTCGCCGATGGTCGATGAAAGAAAAAAAAAAATAAGAAATCGGTTAACCGTAGTTCGTTATCGAGAACGACTTAAAAGCTGTCCTCTCGTGTAACCCTTTCGGTTCCACCACCGACTGGGGTACTATTTTCGTATACATTTATGTATGTACCGAGGTACATATATACCTATGTGTGGAATAATAATACCCAGGATTCGGATATTCCGAAGAGATATATCCTGGAACAGAGATACACGAGATCCCCTGTGACAGTACGGAGGTTTATTTTCTACGAGAGAAGGGAACGGAGAAATAAGAGAAGAAAAAAAAGAAAAAAAAAAGGAAACCCGAGAGACAGCGTGAGTGTGCGTGAGAGTAAAAAAAGAAAAAAAAGTGAGCGCATGGATGTCAAAAGATAGAGATAAAGAAAGGACGAGAGAGAGACTATTTACAATCCGATTTGGATGTGCTACCCAGGGGCGAGATTAGGCATTTTTCGAAATTCTACGAATTGCGTCCGGTGACACCTCTCCTTATCAACGAAATCCCATTAATTTACTCGTTATTTCCGTTGCCTCGATTGTTCCGACCCGACCGTTATTATTTTTTTAGATGGCTAGATTAGGTAAAAGGTCCATCCGTAGTATTAGGAGAGAGTAAGATGGACCCGTGCGTCGATTGTAGAGTTTCGAAAGAAGGCCGCGCCGCCCTCGTGACTCCGGACTATTGTTAACACTCTTTGGCCGAACCGACGAGAATTTATTTAATTTATTGTTATTAAAAGTACTATTAAAATGAAAAGAAAGAATCTAACGTATATATTATATATATATTATATATATCTTGAATGGTGTAACTGTACATAGTACTATATGTCGTTAAAAGTTGAGCGACTCTGCAAGTTCGTTCGACGTATGATCGTTCAATGCGTGAAGTAGTATGAGATACAACGCCACGTATTGAAATTGTCCCCCGATAGTCTATCGCATTAAAAACATCACATTCTCTGTGCATCATTCGCGGATTATCGTTTCGCTTTGCATACCTTAATTGCAAAATTAAAATCATTTTAGGTCATTACATCGGTAGAAAAGGTTTCGGTGACGTGATCGGAGTTCCCCTATGTTCCGTGAGTAGCGCTCGCATCGTTAGATCAGCGAAAATCTGAGATGCTGGGTCCCGATTCTGACTTTCTGCAGAACCGACTATTGGCGTTATCTCTCCTTATACTACTTCATGGTTAAACGATAATAGAAATGCATGTGCATCGATCGGCAGGATCGGCAGGATCCGCGATGCGTCCGACGTCGCTTATTAAAAGTGGCGGTCAAAGCACATCTCTTGCGATTCGAAGGGAAAACAAATAAAGTGTCAGGGCCTACAAAGCGCAGAAATGCGTGCACCTTCTAAGGCTAGCATGTTAGGGCTCTGTATTCTTGGGACGACCGAAGTTCTTCGTTGATAACGACGTATAATCCGGAGAGATACTCAAAATGGCGTGCAAGGGAACGATTTCGATTAGGGATTCCATTCAATAAACACCATAAGAACGGGGAATCATGTCGGACGAGATAAGAACGAGGATTTTCCGGGCGTTTATCAGGAAAGGGTCACTCGAGATAACGACGTAAACGTAGCGTTAAGTCAGGCCAGATTTTGAGAGCTCTGATATCCAAGCCCTAGATATTTCTATTGTTTATCGGTAATCGAAGTACGAGAAAGAGGATACATCACGTATTTACGGCAATTCATCGAGAAGTATACCGGAATCTTGTAAAGTGTCCACACGTGTGCTGTATACTTGTATAGTATGTACCGATCGCGCGCGCCATTTTGTTTCTTTCCTTTCTTCCCGATAGTTCATCGAATCCTGAGATATTTCTCCGTCATATCATTTCGATAGCGTGCCACAGCTTTCCTATGTATATAGTTTTCACTTTCATCAAGGCTAAAAGGAACGCTGGAAGTGCGCATAGAGAGAGTCGAAGGGAGAAAAATAGCTCGTTTCGATTTGTCATTTCGAGAAAAAAGGGTGAGTCTTCGATATCTCCTCCGAAAGGGGAGCTTAAAGTACGACTAGTACTGTACAAAGTCGAAGAAATTTAACTCTAATTATTTAATTAAACGATTACTTAAATTATAATCCCCATCGGTCGAAGTAGGTTGGATCAGTTTTGCAGAAGGAAACATTCGAAAATCGTTTAGGATATAGTTTTCCCGATGGTATTCCAATTGTTCGATATGAAAAAAGTTGACGTCAGTTTTGTTATGACTTGTCGGAGAGCATTATTTTGTTGAAGAGAATATGTATACACGCGAAGGATGTAGATCCTTGGAAAAAAAATGTTGCGATAGATTTTCAAGTCTTCGAAGATAGTGGTGTGTATTAGATGCGATAAAAGGAGAGGAGAGTTCGAGAGAAAAAAAACAAAACGACCGGTTAGGTTCTATTTTCCACCGTTGATTACTTAAAAACGACCAATCTGCAACTTTTGCGACGGACCAATAATTCGTATCTCTCGCGTGTTTATTTATTTCCCTCGAAAGGCCTAAAAATCGTCGCAACGAATTCATTTCACCTTTGTGAAGAAAAAAGAAAAAAAGGAGAGAAGGAAATAAAATCGTTACAAATGGTAACCAAATATTAGAGATATATATATATACGCAAAGGATTCAGTAAAGAAAACCCCGACCCGTTTCTTGTGGATAAAATGGTTAACAAATTGCGCGTCCTCGTACACAAGAATACTTATGTAAATAAAGTATAAAGTATAGAGAGAGCTTACGATTTAGAATCAACCCGTGACTGATTTTTCTAATCATATACGTCTCCTTTTACCATACTTGGTCTTTTGTTTTTCTTTTTTGTTTAACGTTTCGAACATCTACGCGATTTTGAAACGTTACTACATAGAAGCTAGTTTCTGTACAAAATTTATTATCATGTACATCTAATAAACGACCTACATGAAGATATCTCCGAACTGAATTAATCATTGGAATTGAAAGAATAATGAATTAATGTTGAAATACAGTTTAATAATAATTATTAAGAGAGATTTGTCTAGTTGTAAACTTTTTTAATTCTGCATCTCAGCAGTTTCGGTAGCAGTAGAAATGAGATTATATTCCACAACGTAAGAATAACCGGCCCCGATGTTTATATTATTATATCGTGTAGCTTTTATTGATCATTGCAGTAGATTATAAGCAAATCTATTGCAGTAGTTGCAATAAGTATGTACCATCTTTAACAAGGTAAGTATAGTTCGTATCAATGTAGCTTTTTTATAAGATAATTGTAGCTTTTTTTTTTTAATATATAGATTCAATCAAGAGCCGTGATTGTACTTCGAGTACAAATCAGCTGTATATGCTTCCTGTACTGCATAATTAAGAATAAATCATTTCCGCGGTACCGTTGTAGTTTAACATTTTAAATGGTGTTGATACAATTTTCAACGCTTCACGGATACGTGTTGTGTAATTGAAAATTGAGTTCAAAGTTTGGCAATATATCATTATTAATTCATTTGCAATCCTTGATAAAATTAAAATTATGTTACAGCAAATCGGTGATTTTTTTCATTTACAAATCAAAATTATTGGATTGCTCTAATGCATATGGTTGATACAAATGTTAAACAATTAAAATGGTTTTTAGTTGCACAACAAAGGTGCTAATCAATTAAGTTCATATTTACACATCGATAAGCCGCTGGATAATTAAATCCCTCTTAATTATACAGTACAAAAACACTAGATATTTGACAGACCTCCTAATTACCTAGTATAACAATATCCAGTACTTAAATCTGTTTCTAATTACACAGTATATAGACACTAGGTAATGAAATGATTTTCAATTACCTAATCCTAGTCATCTCTGATATCAAGCATGCCGTATTTCACATCAATGAGTCGCAACATGATTTTGTAATTCTATCAAAGTGGCAAATGGTCTGTCGCACAGTAAACAGACATGAGCGTTGCCATTGTGAACATCAAGGTGTTCGGAGAGTCCCTCTTCGGTATCGAACACTTCATCACAAAGAGTACACTCATAGTCCTGACTTTTTATTTCCTGTTTCTCCCATTCAGCTATGGCAATCTCTTCTTCATGAGCTTGTAAATGCATAGCAAGGAGCATGTCCGATTCAAATTCTTCGGAGCATTGTTCGCATTTGTATGTTTCTTGAGGCTTCTCCTTGTCGACTTCTATAGAAATTAGATTAGGGTTGTCATCTTCATCGTCAAACAAATGTTTCTCCACATGGCTTTCCAACGCCTCTTCCGACTCCAAGGTTTCGCTGCAAATAGCACACTGATACTGCTCCTTTCCATTGCTCTGCTCATCTTCGCTCATGTCGTCACAATGTTTCTGTAAATGATCTTTGAGAATTTCTTCGTCGGTGAATGTTTTATCACAAACGAAACAAGTATATATTTCTTTAGGCTTCTCCTGTGTTCTTGGAACATCTTTTTCCTTCGTCATTGTTCCTGTACTGATGCTATTGTCACCCTGCGTACTGGTGACGTTAGCTGTCTTTACCGTTGTTTCTGGTTTAACGAAAGGCGTCTTTAAATTAGCTGAATCAACTTTGACGGATTCTATTTTAAATTCTGCTTCGTCGTGAGTTTCCAAATGTTGAACCAGTAGTTTCTCGGTTCTGAAAGTTGCATTACAAACGTAGCATTTGTGTGGCAGTTTTGTCAGTGGCTGGCAGACATGGGCTTTGACGAGTCTGGCTTCAACAATTTCATGACACCTCTTACAGCGCATCATTCTATGCTTAGGCTGTTTAGTTATAGTGGAGGACTCTGACTTATGAGACATTAAATGAACCTCCACATCCTTTCGTTCTGTGAAAACGGCTCCGCATACTCCACAAATATGTCTCTTCTTTTGAGTTTGTTCCAGCCTGCTTAAAGTTGACGTTTCGGTTGGCTTTTGGATGGTGATTACTTTTTTCACAGCGCTCGGGGCAGGCAGTGACTTTGTCGTTGTGTCACATTCGGCTGTCTCGCAATTCGACTTCTCTTCTTTTTTCTTCTCAAGGGCTAGTCTCTTTGCAGAGGCTGGTCCAAATGTTCTTACATTCTGTGGTCGGTTTTGAGTCTTCGGAGCTTGCATCACAATCTGCTGATTAGAATCAGTTTCGTCTGAGTCAATTGCCGATGTTGTAAAATCACTGAAGCGAGCCGGTGGCACACTTAATCTCTTTCCTATAACACTGAGGGGTCCCAAGAGCCTATTTTTTGGTTTCGGTCGTTCCAGAATATGGAGATTGTTAATCCGGTAGCGCTTTGAGGCTTCGGCTAAATCCAGTCGAACGAGGACAACCTTTGGTTGGAACTCGTTAGAAGTTAGAGCAGCTTTAATATCTGCAGGTGAGAGTCTGATCCGCTGATGTTGCAGAGAAGGAGCTTTAATCATCGGAGGCTTCCTAGTCTTCGAAGTCTCCCAGTTCTTCTTTATGGCTTTCTCAACGATGGTTTTTAACTGTTGATCCAAGGTTTGGAAAGAGTCTTTTGGCTTGTTATCGATAATAGGTTTATCGGAAGCATCTTCACTAGTACCTAGTAATTTCTTTTTCATGTCTTTTTCAACAAACGCTGCTAATTCCGCCTGAACACGTTGCAAAGCTTTTAATTCTGTACCTTCAACCTCTATATTTAGGCATCTCTCAACATACTTGTCTTTATTATTATCTACCTGGCTTGGATTTATCCTACGCAGTTGTACAGCATCGATGATATCTGTATTCTGTTCGTGACTGCCATCGGTGTTTATGCTGCCGGTAGACTTTGACAGACTATTCAAATAATGTGCATCAGAAAGTACTAATGTCGATGTGACAATATAAGTTGCATCCCCAATTTCCAATTCTGAGCACACACACTGTGGTGTAAAATTTTCTATCAGATCCAAAGATTTGTCTTGCTTTGACGCAGGGGCTGTATTTGTTGCATTGGATAAGTCCATTTTGTCAGATGCTTCCTTTGTGTTTTTGTTGTTTACATATTTTATGCTGTTTACTACGGAGTCTTTTAACAGACTTTGATTGTCACTTTTCGATTTTTTAATTGGTTCGTTTAGTTTTTCCTCTGTTACAGCTTTCTGAGATCTCGTCCTTCTTGCATCAGAGTCGGTGTCTGCAAAAATGAAGCTATCGCTATCATGTCTAATCCCGTACTTTCCGGACATATCAGCTTCTAAACTTTTTAAGGTTTTAACTAGTCGCTTTTGTCTTTCGGCTTCTTTGTCTGCATTTGTTTTTGCTCTGGCTTTTTGTACCGGAGATAACTGGGTGTCATCCGAAGCGATTGAATCCGTGTCCGAAGCATTTTCTCCACTTGCTGCTTGTAGAGCCTTCTTTCGTGCCACCCAGCGTTTTGTTGAAGCTTTGCGTCTCTCTGTAGTTTTTCCTCTTCGTCCAGTAATGTGTTTAACTTTCATCGGTACTAATGTAGGCTTAACAGGTGGCCTGGTTTCCTCTCTCTTTTGGATATCTTTGTCATCTTGTTTACTTGCCTCTGCGTCTTGATTCGCTGCTGCATCTTCTTCAGAAATGTACATTTCCTTAAGAGCATTTTGATCGGTAACACAATCGACGCTTGCAAATTCTAAAGGTATCAAAGGGGGCATATCCATTTTTGACTTCTTCTGAAACAAATACAATTTTAATTTATATAATTATGCCTAACAAATCTATTTGTAGATTAACATTTTCATTTACCTTGCTGATACCTTCCAACGGACTATCGTATAAATTGACTTCATGATCTTCCGGCTTCCTCTTAGATTTTGGTGCCTAATAATGTACAATGTTATTATTTATTTGATGGAGGTTAAATTACATGATGTCTAAGCAGAATTGGATGTTTAGTGATACATCATTGCAGAAATAATAGGTAGTGCAAGGTTAAAAGTTTATGACATAATTTATTTATTGAATACTACCAGCTTATGAATTGACATTCAAATGCTTATTGACATTTCAGAGTTGAGTTTAAACTCCTTCATTTCTTACCTTCACTTATTTCACCTTCATTTATTACCAGGTGCATTGTGGTGGAATACTGTTATTTTATAATAAAGAGAACTTACATCATGTTCAGAAGCTTCGGAGAGTTCCCAATGGGACATCAGCATTTCATTGGACCGAACAAATTGCTCTTTGAACTCGCTCCACATGTCTAGCTTATAAAGGCAGACATGGCAAAGATTCCTTGGAAGGTTGGAGTCATCTTTAATCTGTTTAGAAATAGGGAAGAATTCACGAAACGGTACCTTTGGCGAAGAGTTAATGTAAAAACGGCAAAGAAACAAACGTACATCGATGGAAGTGCATTTGGTTAGGTCTTTAATTTTCAGATCCAATAGTTCGGTGAAGAGGTTACTCATACAACCTTCGTCCGTTAAACAGACGCGACATTTTTCATTGATGTTCGGTATCTTCCTTTTCTTCGACATTCTCAGGATTCGATGCAATTAAACAACGTCGAACTGCACAAATTCTGCCTAACTGGATACCAACGAATAATCTGAACTTAGTTACAGACGCGTTGTGGCGGGTCCGCGGCCATGATGGCTTGGATGCGATATCGATATGGACTTTCGATACTCTCGACGCTTCCTGGGTGTGATCAGAAGTCATCGAGAGGTACTTCATACTATGACGATCCGACATACTGATGATTTCCAGCACGACGAAGTACTACACGTTTCGGACCCACGATGTTGGAACTTAAATCATAGGCCAAGGGGTTAAACGAGCTCGAGAACTTATGTACTTGCGCTACTTGTATTATAAATTGTGAAATAATAAGTGTAATAAAGCAAGTTATTGAATAATAACAATGAGTATGTTTAATCAGACGAACATGTCTAGCGAACCCTCTAATTGCCTATTCCTGATCCTTGAAAATCACTCGTAGACCTAAGTTAATATTAATTTCCTTGCGTTCGGAGAAAACTTTGCGTGCCACCTCCTCGGTTGTCCTGTGATCCTGTTAGAAATCGGGAATCTCAGCCCCTAAAATTTTTGCTCGGGAGAAACTCCGTGCCACCTCCTCGGTTATCCTATGATCCTGTTAGAAATCGGAATTTTCAACCCCTAAAATTTTTGCCCGGGAGAACCTCCGTGCCACCTCCTCGGTTGTCCTATGTTCCTGTTACAAATCGGAAATTTCAACCCCTAAAATTTATGCCCGGGAGGACCTCGTGCCACCTCCTCGGTTGTCCTATGATCCTGTTACATCTCTGAAGATTTCTAACAGGCACGGTGTTTCTCCCGAGCAAAAATTTTAGGGGTTGAAATTTTCGATTTCTAACAGGAACATAGGATAACCGAGGAGATGGCACGGAGTTACTCCCGGGAAAAATTTTAGGGGTTGAAATTTCCGGTTTCTAACAGGATCATAGGATAAAATAGATAAGGTAAGTGAAGGGTAAAGTTAAAGAGGGCTCCACGAGTGTTCTTCCCTTACCATCAAAAGCGAGCAGGGTCGGTAAGCGTAGGTAAGCTACCACCTCTGGTATCGACCTGCTGGATAACTAACCAACAGTGATATACCTTACTGTGATAATTGAATATATCTACAAACGCTGTTTTATAATTCTAGCTTTCATTAGGGAATCTACTATTTTTCTTTGTATTCAGACGTTTGGCATTGTTACGTTCAATTTATCTTTTATTGACGTAATTTTTATAAAGTCAGCAGCTAAAGTTCTTAGGAAGGTACGGGTAGGAAATTAATGTTTACGATAAGGTTAAAAACTTTCTTACATGTACAGTTAACGAAAACATTTCTGCAAAAGTCAGCTGCAACCATAGCTGAAAATGTCCGTTAATATTAACAGGGATGAAACAGGTACATTTAAAGTATTACAAAATTGTAGGTGCAACGAAAAATATTTGTAGGCATTGCAGAAGAAATCTTCGGAATTAATGGATTCAACAGGTTAAGGGTAATTTATAATTTCACCACAATCGTATGTACGAAGAGTGTAACGACTTAATGAATATCTTTAACAGGGTCCATTTTGCAGATTTCTCGACAAGTTTGACGGAAAAATGTGAAGTCGGGTCGGCGCTGGGTTGCGGCCTCACCGGAGCCAGCGACGTCGGGCGTCGCGAGGCCACGTGACTCGGGGCAGAATCCGCGCCGTCCGCCGAAAATCTAAATCCGTCCGAGCCGAGAAGAAGAGGCAGCTCGGCGGCTCGGGCCGAGTCGCGCGATAGTCAATAATCGCTCCGAAGTGGGACCGGTTCGCCGCCGCACCCGCCGTTCGCGTAGGGCCGCGAAAACCGCGCAGGAAGACCCTTCAGGGACCTCGGGATCCGTTGGGATCCGTGGGGATCCGTCGGGATGATTCGGGTGGACGAGACCGACCCCGTGGGCGGTAAGACGCGGAAACACCCTAAATTATTGGTACTGGGCCCGCCTAATAGAGGCCGAAATCCAAACGGATACCTTAGATGTAAAAAAACTTCGCCAAATACATTCTAGTTTCTTGAATTGCAAAAATAATTCAAACCGTTTTCTTTTCATAAAAAATGAATATCAACTATTTTTGCCAAATATGTTAGTACTTTCGTTTTATTAAATACTCAAATGATGTCATTGACAAATTGTACGATTTGTTTCACATAGTGCAAGTACATCCATTCTAAAAATGAAAGAACGATGGGAATGAAATTAGTACTTACGCTTTCGAAATTAGGCACGCGCCTCGACGGAAATAAGAGGGAAAATCTTACCGGATGCATTTCACTATTTCCCGTTTTTCCTAACGGTTTATAAATGGATCGATGCGTAATTCAGCTCGGAATTTCGAGCTTCGGGTCTATGGGGAGGAAGGAATTCAGGAACGGATGTAAACATCGTTATTTTCTCGAGTGACGTAAAATGTCTGGACGCTGAGCACGAATCTTCATTCGTTTTCAGAAATCGAACCGAGCTTTCCATACAGAGATGTCACCACTCGCCGGGGAATCGACTTTAAAGAGCATTATGACATCCAATCAGAGATCGGACGGTAAGGGTGGCATTTATTTTTCAATTGGATGCATTAACAATCAAGATTAGTCGCTAACGAGTCATACAACAATCCACCGATCTCCAACCTGACACCTGACACTTCCGGCGAAAATTCGGCTGCTCTTAATTAACTCCTGGTATCGTTCGTCCTTTCGCGTGGAACTTATCCGGCAACTGTTATCTCGCTTATCGGTTCTACGCGTTTTTGACGTCACCGTTGCCGGCGAGTCCAGCTCCGAAATTGCAGGTGGTATTCCATCTTAGTCGAATTGACATCAAGGAAGCATCAGGTTGGCATGCACTCGGGAATGAAATCCAACCGAGACGCAGAAAGTTGGATGAGACCGGTGGTAATGTGCTCTTGCACGTTGGCACGCGTGAATAATTTCATAACACGCGCCATGTGAATCGAATTGCACGCCTGGGTGCCTTGGAACAACTTTGCAAAAGCAATCTCGAGACAACTCTTTTTCTTTTTTTTCTACAATACAGCTTTCGAGAATACCTTGAGACACAAATATCGAAGCCCCCTTTTATCTCGAATTTCTATCTTCGATTCGGTGGTTCGATTTTCATTACGGCTCGATTATTACCATTTTAAAATCCAATTGTTATTTCAAGACTACGCAGGAAAAGATTTGTAACGGGTTAATAAAATCGTGCCAAGTTCAGTCGTTATTCAGGTTACGATTCGAGACAACCTTGATGTGCCGTTGGGAAATTAAAGCAACACGGTGGAACAATTGTTAGAAATGTCTCAATTTGACAAGTTAAAGAAATTAAGATTTCTTCATTTTCGACGGTTCGTTCTCAATGTGAGAAGAATGCAAAAATGACAGAAATGCATTCCAACGATCCTCGAAAATATTCCACAAAAGATCAACTTTTTCGCACTTATTGTTCCACCTGGTGACGTATCATTGTCTTTGCAGATAAGGAGGGAAAGAAAAAAAAAACCAGATGCGAGTTAAAAATAAGAAGGAATTGCAAGATCGAGGACGCGAGTTTGGGCCCGGCGTCGCGACGCCCGTTCACGCGATCGGCCGCGGCTACACACGCGCGTATCGACGCGTGTACACACGCGAGTAATCGAATCAAGGTCCTGGGCTCTATAAATAATACATTCGTCGTCCAGGAGTGACGTTGCAACGGGGTCCGGGGGTCTAGTCGACGCCGGGCGCCGCGACGCTCTTGACGCGCGGCACTGTGTGCGTCTCGCGTGTGAACGCGAGGCCGCGTCGCGTGTGCGACCGCGACGCACGTGCGCGCGCGTAAAAGCGGATCTCGCTAACTCCCTGAATCACTGGTTTGGCTCGATTACAAGTCGCTCCTGTAACTCTTGCCAACGGCAGGAGGAAGCGACGACGACTCTGCCTCCTCTTCCTCCTCTTCCTATTTATCCATGCAACTCGGAATGCTTGGCACTTTTTCCGAGGCGAATCGTGCCATGTAACGCGACGCCGCTGCTAAATTATGAACCCCACTTGACACCTTCGCCGGATTGTGCGTCGTTGTTAATTTGACGACTCCCTTAAGGTGATATGAAAATGCACCTTGATTACGGATATTGCAAAAATCATTAGGCAACACCTGACAGCGATAACTTGACAATTGATCGTTCCATTTATTTATCGTAGAGGAAAGTTCGGCACGGTGTACAGGTGTAAAGAAAAGTCGAGCGGCTTGGATTTGGCCGCGAAGGTGGTGAACACTTCGAGGAAAGAAGACAGAAGATCCGTGGAAAGAGAAGTTGGGATCATGAGGAAGCTTCAGCATCCAAGACTTATACAGCTATACGATGCCATTGACACTGGGAAGCAAATTTATGTCGTCTTGGAGCTGTAAGTCGATTCTCCGAACAGTGGCCTGACCTTTCGGACCCGTCGACGGCGGCCTTTGCTTTCGGCGACTCTAATCTTGGCTTCTTTGGTCTTGACTTCGTTTCTTTCAGGATCACGGGCGGAGAACTTTTCGAAAGAGTCATCGACGACGACTTCGTCTTGACCGAAAGAAGCTGCGCGGTTTTCATGAGACAGATCTGCGAGGGAATAGAATTCGTCCACGCCCAGAACATTCTGCACCTAGACATGAAGGTACAACAAATATTAATAATTATTCATCAGGGCGTGCAAGCAAAATTGGACCAAACGTCGGACGCACTTCTGGGTCCGTAGCGCTGAAATTTCGACTCGTGCAATAATTCGAGCTTTTGATATTTCTCTTTGTTTCCTTTTGTTCTTGTAGCCGGAGAATATATTGTGCCTGACGAAGGAGGGAAACAGGATAAAAATCATAGATTTCGGATTGGCGAGACAGTACGATCCCACGAAGAAGTTACAGGTTCTTTTCGGCACGCCGGAATTCGTTGCCCCAGAAGTCGTGAACTTCGATCAAATTGGTTTTGGCACGGACATGTGGAGCATCGGTGTCATATGTTATGTCCTGTGAGTGTAGACCATTCCTCCGTACTGTATACCCAAGTGTTGAGTCATTCGTTTCAACCGCAGTTGAGTAAAGCTGTCAAAAAGCGGATATAAGTAGCTCGAACACATGTTTATTTGTCATTCATGGATGTATTCGTCCGATACGTGAAACATGTCGTAAGACTTGTCATATTCACGTATTGGGCGTATTTCCCAGGTTTAAGGGAATATCGCTTATAAGATGAGATAAATTATTTAAAAAATGTTTCAGCTTATCAGGACTGTCACCGTTTATGGGAGACACCGATGTGGAGACAATGGCTAACGTGACCATAGCCAAGTACGACTTTGACCATGAAGCTTTTACCGACATATCCGAAGATGCGAAAGACTTCATCCGAAGTCTCCTGATAAAAGACAAAGAGTAAGTATTAAAAAATAATATTCATAACATTATTCCACCGCTGTCGATCACTTCTCGACGAGCTTCGCACGCTTGATTCCTCCTTAACTCTTTTCCCATCAAAATTTTCCTTGACCGAGCGATCTAAACACGAACAGCCTCGTTTGTCTCCGAAAAAGTCAAAGCCACGGATAAAGACAATCCAGCTCCTCAAACCATTCGACGTAACAAAGGAAAATGAAAAACCGTTTGCACAACGATGTCCAGATTAATCCTCGTAAATAATCAACCCCCAGGGTGAACATCTTCAAAATCCAGCAGTCGATGTCTTGAGCACAATTTCGTAACACCGTGTAAAGGAATATATTTGATATGGTATATTATAACGATTCCTTTGCGCACGACTTTATATAACAATTTTCAACATGTACGTCCACCTCCGTAGTGCCCGATTGTGGCGTCCTTGCTCGACGTAGAAGTAAACCACCACGTAAAGTCCATTTTAAGTGCGTTTGTCAGTCGCCATTGCGGTATCCGTGAAAAAAGTCTGTCCATGAAAAACCTGAAAACGATTATCCGAGGTCGGGAAGATCCTGAAGAAGGGCTTGTCTTTCAGAAAGCGGCTCTCGGCGTCGCGGTGTCGCGAGCATCGTTGGCTCGTTCAGAAGAAACTTCCGTCATCTACGTCGGCCACGCCAAAGGTGGTCGTCAAGCCGGAAGTGTCTCAACCGGACGTAAATCTCGGCAGAAGGGAGGAGCTGGACATGACCAAGGACAATCTGAGGCTGTTCGTGGAGCGATGGCGCGAACATCCCGACAGTCCTTACATGATCGAGGTGGAGGCGCCTCAAGGTAGAAGGTTGGTTAGCGACTTAGAACAAGAGAACACCATAGAAGTCTCTTCGCTCCGTTGTGGAAGTCCCTCGCCCTGTGGAAGCCTCTGCAGTTCGGTGTCAGAGATCGCCAATTCTCCGGCAGATAACACCAGATTCCTGCTGCCTCCAACATGGGGATTTCCATTCGAGAGGAGAGCCTCGGATGGAACATGTTCCAGGGATGCATCGGCGCAGATAGTTCTCGCAGAAGAGATCATCAGACTTTCGGAACACCTGCGCTCTCTGGCTGCGGCTTCGAAAGTTGGCCCTGGAAGCCAGAATCCACAGAAACTTAACGACCAGGATAAGGTAAATCCATCCACGAGCGTCGAAAAGGACGCTGATAAGGGTAAAAGCGATAAAGTTAAGCAGATATCGCCCAATCGACTGAGGGTACCGGGAATGAAGACGGACGATCGCCAGGTTGACGAGGTTTCTGGCAACGTGGCGAAGACTCTTGGGAAAAAGGAGCGACGATTAAATGATAAGATGGATGTTGAGTCTTCTGGCTCTGCGAAAGAGAACAGGAAAGAGGGGAAGAGGGAGAAGTCGGTACAAGTCTCCTCTTCTAAAACGAAGCTGGTGGAACAGTCGGAGGAACATGCTAACGAGATCTCGGAGAAGCTTTCCACGATCACCAGGCAGCGGCAGCTGAAAGGAACGACGTTTAACAGGTCCAGGACTGTTGAAAACGATGTTGACGTGGATGCTGGGAAGGTCAGATCTGGAAGTGCAGAGAAAAATTTCAAGTTGGATGGAGATACCGTGAAAAAGTCTCCTAAAGTCGTTGTGGAGGGTGGCGGCTCTTCCACTTCGGTTTCGGATTTGGTTGATTCACGGAACGCTGATAAGAAGTTCAACTTGAAGGCTGATACCTTCCTTAGACTCGAAGATTTTGATACTTCCGATTGGGAAGATCTGACTCCTCCGTGGAGGAAAGGAAGAGTTAAAAGGCGGTTCGGAGAAACTTGCAGAGATGTGCCCAGGATCTCCACTCTTAGGGACTTGCATCAGGACCGGAACCTGGATGAACCTACGAGTACGAAAAATTTGTTGCTACAACTTTTAGAAGAGTGGGGAGATATCACCAGACCTAGTGGAGTCGGCAGGAAATCCGTTAGCGTGGATTGGGGTGGAGAAGAGTCGGTAGCTAGGAGGTCCATGAATTCCTTGGCTGAATATTTTCAATCCGAACAGCAAAAGTCAGCCCAAAGTGTCACGTCGATTGCGTCTCCTCTGGCACATCGCTGATTCGTTTAGAAGTGCTCCAGATTGTGGAACAACATCATGAATGTTACATTTGCATTTTACAAAAATACCCCGAAAAGATTAACAATTGGAAGGAGTCATCGTGGTTAACTCGGATACGAAGAAAGCTTTCGAAAGAGTTACTTTGCACGGAACAACGAAGGAGGAAGCTTCAACGGTCCAGGGACTAGAAATACTCCTTAATTGTAAAGAAATAAAATGAGAAGATCGAGGGGAGAATGCAAATTAGTCTAGTAGAAAAGTAGTCCATGGAATATTTGGAGAAGATCCGAACGTCTATTTGATGTTCACTAGACGGAAGTGGTTACACGGGTCCATATTGGGTTCAGGGTCGTTCAAATCATTGGAGATGAGGAAAGGGTCTAAAGTATATTTACAGTGGTTACGTGTGTGCTTTTAGGAGAAACTGGGTAAAAGTTGAGCTAATGGCGGCTGAAATCAAAGTTCAAGATCTTGGACCATGCTTAATATTAAGTAATTTATTAAAAAGAATAAAAGATTAACGATGTCTCAAGTTTTTATATCGAATCCAAATATTAGAGATTAAACAGTCATTTGATATTAATCTCTCAGATACCACTTTCACATCCCCTTAAGAACCTGTCCAGTTAAGCGTTTTCCATAAATCGCGTTGCTGCATTGTTGCTAGATGCCTCTAAAAAAAAATCACTAATGCATTGTAACGCATCGCAGCTATGTCCATAATTTTCCATATTATATGGAGGTCTTTTTAATATCGAAAAGTCTCAATTTTGTTTTTTGCAAAAATGAATCTTTGAAGGAATCGATCGTGCTTTTCCAAGTTGAAGAGACTAAGGGGGAACAAAACCGTCGTTTCGTTTTCTATAAAACATTTTTTAACGATACAATACATTTTTCTTGCTGTCGAATCCATCTTCAGTCAAAGACCACGAGCGGATCAATTGTTGGAACATCGATGGCTTGAAGCGGCCCTGGACAACCCGATATCAAAAGTTCGGCTGAAGAGATACGTTATCAAGAAGAGATGGGTCAAAGCTGTCAATACGATTTTGGCATTGCGCCGAATGGGCGCCCACATTGACGTCGATCTTATTTGACAAGACAGAGGATGGAAGTAAAGAACAAATCTTCCAATTATTCCCGTTTGGATGAGTTCACTGCCTCGTGGAAGAAAAACCTTATCGGTGCCTTCCCTTGTTCCCAACAATTGTTTGGAGCATGGGTGCTAGTAGCTCCCCTGCTGGCGAAATTGTATAAAGATAGATTAGTTTAAGATAAGTCAAGAAATGGAGGATGCACAATCTGGGCAGTCTTTCGGCGTTTCTAGGTAGCGTTATTAATTTATTATCATTAAGTATTATTCACTCGAGGAATTCTCGTTAATATTCAATATTTATCCCAAGTCGGTGTTCAGTTTTTTCTTTTTCTTTTGCTAAAGCTCTTCCGCGAAGAAATAAATCGCTAAGCTGCGGTGAAACGTTACTCAATGTTTATGAATTTATGTGTATTCTTTACTTTGCTGCATAAATCTGGCGGTGCATAATTAATGTTACACTTTGCTATTTCTTATTAACAGTGTAATATTAATTATACACCAGTCTCTGCATTAATTCACTAAGTAGCCAAGCTTGAATAGCGACATTTAAGTGGTTGCTTCGAATCTTTAACTGTGTTTTGTCACCGTACCTGTGCATTGTATAAAAAAGCTCAATGTTCGACTACTGACGCAGTATTTTTAGTTTATTTGGAATTATAATCAATGTATAGAAACGGAATAAATGTCCATGTGGGTTAAGTTACTTATCGAACAATTTGTACGTCTCAAGTCGGACATTTATATTATTATTTCTCTTTCATACGTGGAAAAATATGTAACGCTTTATGCCTTTATTTATTGGAAATTCAATTGCACTTTTCCTAGTGTTTACTTTAATGACTTAAGACCTAATGATGTTGTACCTAATTATGCCTTTTATCACTGTACATCAATTCGTGGCGTAATTTAATACGGAGTTGGCACTCGTTGAAATTCGTGCATGTATACTGACATGTGGAATGACAGTTGAAAAGAAAAAGTGTATATAATTAGATGAGAAGCGGGGGAATGATTTTGGCACCGATTTTAATCACGGACCACTTGTGGGATCATCAAAGGTGAGAAACAAGACAATCTCTTTGGATTGGGGAGGTAAGTTTATTTATTGCACTGACATTTCTTGGCAAACTACCATTGTATGGATGTATGAGAAAACTAGAATTTGCTGTAGCACCCATTTAGAACAATTCCTCGAAAATTGAATGAACCGTTTCAAGGCTTTTCAACACCGAAAATACATCGTCCGCCATTTTCTTAGCCTAAGAATATTTAAAAATTATCTGTGTCGACAATTGTAATTGATATAATTAATTTTATTTATAAATAATATAATATAAAAGAACTAAACATAATGAGTTATTTTGAGGAACCGATGATATGTATGAAAAAGGAGCGTTAGTTTCTTAACGTGACCGTGAAACAGATTTTGTAATTATTCTAATTTTATAGTGACCGATAAAAAAGAAAACTGTTGTCTCCATATTATGTTATAATTGGCAGCCTTGATAGGACGACAATTCCAGTGATCGATTATCGTATAAAACGTGCAGAACTCGATGTATCGCCGAAGAGAGCTGTAAAACTGGAATGACGTTCGCAACAGATCGTAAAGAGGCTGTTACCTTGTCGTATTCTTCGGAAGGAACATTGCTGGAGAATAATACGATATCGCTGTATCACCATGCATAACCCGTAATTTATCGGTGCCTTATCGTTGATGATATAACGATGCATCCGAAATTGACTTTTCGAATTGATAAATGCCTCCCTATTTTAATCGCCGATCGGAAATGAAGAAGTCTTAAGCTACCTTCGGCTTCACCGAAATCAAACTGACTTCTGCACAAGTGCACGAAATGCTAAACAATAAATGTTGGAGGAACAATACGATGTTGGGAACGCGAAAAAGAGAATTAGAGGAGAATTGGATTTTTGGTATATTTGTACAGGTAGATAATAATCTCGGATAGTTTGAGAATTAGCTTTTCCCGTGTGCACTTTGCTATCGGGCAATAATTCACTCAATCAACAGTTTATTACTCTCTCGGTTTAAACCGAGTTCCGTCTTATTACCAATGCTTGCAGTGATAATAATCGCGCATCTAAACGACGCGCAATTATTGAGGGACATTCGTAGAATATATAGAAAATCAGGGATGATGGGGGAAATTTTTCCGAAAGACAAAAGACAATTTGAAATGTCAGGAGGGAAAGTTCCTTTTATGTAGGAATTGCGTTAGACGTCGCTGAAATCTTGTTGGCAAGTTAGGTTGCCTCCCAATAAGAGATTCGCACGGGGCGAGAATTAACGGCCGGCTGTTTGCGAGGGAAGTAATGCTCGTTCTCGAGCTAGTTAAATTCGCCAAGTTAATTCCCTCCCGTTGATTCGCTTGGAAGAGTCGAAGTCGTTTTACGGAGAGCATGCTCGCAATTGGCGTGCATGGGAATTTACAGGACCGGCCGGAGGTTTTGCCGGCGACGCCGATTTTGACGTTAGGCGAATTGAGCGGGCGGCCCTGGCGCGAAATCGCGACCACTGATACGACGATAAAGCGGAACAGATCGAGCGTGTCACGAGAACAATTGCCGATAGGTGAGAGAAACGTGTCGCAGCTTCCGATAGATTCTTCGCGAATGGCTGAACGAGGGCCAAATGGACAAATGAAAAGTTTATCGAACGCCAGTGCGAACAAAAGAATGAGGAAATTAAGCGGACGAAGGAACGAATGTCGGCGAAATTACGGAATGGATTATGATCGGCGGTATACATTTTATGCAGGAATGTAATTGTTACGATGTGCGGTTCAATTTTTATGTTTAATAGTTTTTTTCTTCCGCTTATTATCTTTAAACAATTATCTCCAGGTTAATGTTCGAAAGAAGGTGTAGACTATTTTTCAATTATCTGTCTAGCTTAGGTGTGAGAATCGTATTCTTATGCGTATGGTATTTAATGTCAGGGTTAATAGATAGGTTGTTGAAAAATATTTCAGGGAGCTGATTTCTCATTTTCACTCGCGTGTTCATTCGCGCATTTATTGCGTTTGTAGAGTGCCGGATACGCAAACGCACAAGAATTTTAGTATTTAGACGGCATTTTTTTGATCTTGTACCGCAGCTTCCTTACCTCCATTCTATGGAATCATTTCTTTGGATGAATTTGAAGGGGAAAAAGAATTTGTTTTTTAAGGTATATCCAGAATTTATGCACAGACGTTTGTACATCTTCAAGCTCCGCCCAATGTACTCCCACACGAATCGATAATCGGATTTTGACGTATCGAAGGAGCGTTGATCGTTTCCACCACTCTTCGGGGTACAATACATGTTTGACCGTCATGCGTGTGGACCCACACAAATCTTCGTCATTTATATATGAAAACTGTGATCTCTGCAAATACGACCTCGTCAAAGAACCGGAGAAGGGGTAAAGATCCAAAAGGGAAGAAGTTGTTCGCAGAAAATTTGTCGCTCGATCGAGCACCTCGCTAGTTTTTGGCCGGACGGGAAACATCATGCTCGTCGGAAGGAAATCAATTTTCCCAGTCGTGATTGTGGTAAGACGAGATGGACAGTTTCGAAAAACTGTTACGCCTGGACTGTGGATTTTTGTGACATACTAGAGTAACTGTAGTCGAAACTAGGGTGATATTTTATTGACAAATGTTTTGTTATTTTGCAACATGTCCACAGGTATTCTGGTGGTCATCACTCGCAATTGCGGGTCCATATTCCCAAGCTCAAGAAGCTGAAAAGGTACATATGGTTCTAAGTACTTCCGCTCAATTTGCAATTTGCTATTTACTGTAAAATCGGACTCAAAATCAATTTTCGAGAAATTAAATTAAATTAATTTTATTTATACCATTTCTATTTTGAAATTTGATTTCTAGAGCCAATTTCTGAGTAAAATAGTGTTTTTCAGAAAATAGCAATGGCAGGAGCTTAGTAGAGTTTCAACTTCTCGTTCTAAGCAAAATTTAAAGGAGTAACTGTGATTTATTTTTGTTTTCTGGTTTTTTTAACATTACCAAAAAAAGCACAATGGCGTACATAGACATGGTAAAGCATCGGTGCACCTGGCGACAGGAGAACCCCATAAAAGGACCCAGAATAAATTGGACAGTAAACTAGGAACTTTCGAGGAAGCATCTAAGAGGCATAATCACGCCCATAGAGCAAACTACGCAAGAAGAGAGAAAGATCCTTTGTTGCTGACGATAGCTAGAAAGAATGTAAAAAATGACGGAGAACCTTCAAAAAAGTTGAACGCGAGTGAAAGAAAAATTCACTCCCTGGAAAATGAGGAAAAGTCTGAAATAGTGCAGCCACGGCGCCAAAGTATATACATAAAAAGAAACAACGTGAACCATAAAGTCGCCCCTTTGTCACGAAAACTGAAAGAATCGACAAAAGAAGACCACAGACAATTTGCTCGAAGTGGTGGACTAGAAGTAGGATTTACAGAGAGATCGAAAACCCGGAGAGACAAAATCAGAAAGAACGTAGCAGCACCTAGGCGTAACTTTAAAATCAGGAACGAAAACGTGAACGTAGTTATCCACCGCGATTCGCAAGGATTGCCGCATGATGCGAGTTCAAAATTGGACATAACGCAAGTAGAGAACATCTTCAAGCAATTCGAACTCCTGGGAAAGCCGATCGAGGCAGGTAAATGTGCGATTAGGAGATCATCCCCCAGGAATTCTGGAGATATCGATCAGGATCGCATTACCACAAGACATAACATCCCCATTGTCGAAGACGAGAGAGAGAAAGAGGAGGAAGAAATTATCAGCATCCGCGAAGGTGAAGACATGACGTTGTGCTGGATAGAGGTGATAACAATCAAGGAGGATAGATCGATCGATCCACCGAACAGATTCGTACACAAAGAGTACTCGATATCTTATGAAAATTCGGCGATCATACCAGACAAGTATGTCCAGTGTGTGAAACTGGAGGGTGAAGTCGAACCCGAAAGTGAAGTGGGAAAAACGAAGGAAATTGGGGTGGTTGATGAAGACACCAGAGTGAGTCGTCCTTTGAACTTCACAATTGTTAGTCATAATGGGTCCTTGGTCGTGTATCAGAATAAAAGGGTCAGATGCAGCTCGGGTCCTGTTGTGGAGAAGAGGGTCTACAGTTATGGGAATATTCAGAAGCCGACTAGGAGAATGGAGATTAAGGTGAAGCCTAAATTCAGGTCGGAGTTAGAACCCGAATCTAGGGAACCAGGTGCACCAGAAGCGACGACTTTAGCTTCAGATTCTGATAGATTAATACCAACGGAATCTGAGGAGCCACCATCCGAGACGGAGTCAGGAGAAAGATGGACGTTGGAACCTGGTCTAACGTCGATACCAAGAATACCGGAAGTTACGAATGAAAGAGAAAAATCGGAAAAACCGTTCCCTCCGGGATCAAAGGTACTAACATTACCAGGAACAAGTTCTGAATCGGATGAAACACCAACACCGGAGAAAAGTCCCGAATCGGAAGGAAGTGACGAGCCAGGAAGGAAGTCGGAATCGGAAGAAACACCAACACCGGATATAAGTCCCGAATCGGAAGGAAGTGACGAGTCAGGAAGGAAGCCGGAATGGGAAGAAATGCCATTACCAGAAATCAGTCCTGAATCAGAAGAAAGTGACGAGCCAGGAAGGAAACCGGAATGGGGAGAAGTACCAAACCCGGAAAGAAGTCCTGGACTGGAAGGAAGTAAAGAATCAGAAGAAAATATTCCCCCGGGCTCAGAAGAAAATCCTATTCCGAGTTCAGAAGAAAATCCTATCCCGAGTTCAGAAGAAAATCCTATTCCGAGTTCAGAAGAAAATCCTATCCCGAGGTTCAGAAGAAAATCCTATTCCGAGTTCAGAAGAAAATCCTATTCCGAGTTCAGAAGAAGAACCATTGCCGAGATGGAGCGAGGAATATAGTCGGGAACCTATCGAACCTGAGGAATCGCTTCCTCCAAAACCAGATGAAAATGCGACTCCAGGTTCAGGTGAGGGACCAGAGGTACCAGAGGGACTAGGGGGACCAGAGGGACTAGGGGGACCAGAAGGACCAGGGGGACCAGAAGGACTAGGAAAGCCAGAGGGACCAGAGGGATCAGGTGAAGGATTAACGCCAGAACCAAAGTTACCTTGGGTGATCCTTCCAGGATCTGAGGAACTTATTCCGGGTGTAGGTGGTACTTTAACGCCAAGTTCAAAGGAATCAGGAGAACCAAGTTCAGAATCAGGGGAAACATCAACTCCGACATTAGGTGAGTAATAAATATTGACACCTGAAATATGACCATTCCACTGAGACATTTTAACGTCGAGTTCAAGATAGATATATTATCTATACACCCTGTAGAATAAGAAAACATGCAGTTTAATTATGTAATTTAAATATTTTTGTTAATACAGAAGGAACTTCGGAATGCACCGACGAAACGACCACCAACACTCCTGGAGTGTCCGATCAGACCACCAAGGAAGAATCCTGCGAAGATTTGGAAGAATGCATGTCGAGAGAAAGTTTTCCAGATTTGTTACCTTGTACAAATTCAGACTGTTCAGAATCGGACACCGTTCCATCGAGTGAAACGAGCGAGTCTCCAAACAGATTTCGAGATGGTATAACTGACGTACCAGAAGTGGTACCCTCGTTATCTCCAGATTTAACGATCGAAAAGGCGCCAAAAGGCAAATCTGGAGAAAGATCCGATGAACCAGAAGATAGTACCGACTCCGGAAATATCGTCCCTCCAATTTCAGGAACTCCAGGTGAACCTGGGGCAAAACGTAACATTACCGAATCTTGCGAGTCCGATGATTGCGTTGGAGGGAGTTCCGATGAAGACAAGATACCGTCATCTATCGATAAGGGTGGTCGACCATCGAGGGTCGATAGCGAGTCCTGCGAGTTTGGAGGGTGTAGCGACGGACCTGATAAGCGGGATAGTCCGGAGATTCCGCAGGGACCGATAATAAGTCCTGGTGATGCAGTTACACCTGATGATTGCGAATCCGGGGAATGCATTACGAGCGGTACACCGAAGGCTTTGGGCATCGGAGATGCCGGAAAGAAAATCAGGACCGAAGATGTAGGCAAGGGTAATGATCGCAGCGATTGCGACGAGAACTCGGAGAACTGCCCCCCAGACATTGCTTTAGACCCCGAATTGCCGGGAATATGGTCTGATGGAAGTTCTGCTCCAAAGGAATGTGACGGCGACCCGGAGGACTGCATACCGGGTTCAGGAACTTCAGGACCAAGGCTCGCACCTTCTTGTGAAGGTTCCGAAGATTGCGGCTCAACACAACCCACAGATAAAGGAACTTCGGGAACACCTGACGATCAGTCCCCGAAAGAACCAAGGTCTTGCGATTCCGATGTTGGAAATTGTTCACCAGAAACCTCGGAGGAGAGAACTCCAAAAACTGGTCGCAAACTGGCGTTGAATGTCAAGATCCACCTGGAACACGTCGACGAGAACGATCAGCGGGAAAAGCTGGTAGAGGTGGATAAGCAGCTGCTCTTTGACGAAGATCCCAACGATCCACATCACACATCCATCGTGCAACAAGTCAAAGCACTGAACCAGTCCATCAACTCGCAAGCTCTAGATGCTTTGGCAAAGTGCGCCCAGGAGAAACCGACTTTGCGATCAGCTGGCTTCAACATACAACTTACCGATAGGCACCGGAAGCACAGAAGACGTCCCCGCGCTGTTGATATCAAGGAAGGGGCTGAAGTTTTGCAGGTCCCTGGATTAATTTACGACAGGTCCAAGAGTATCGCGGAGTCTAGGAAAGAGGCCATAAATAAAAGTCTGTCTGGGGTGTACGATGATTTGGGAGCTGGACTGCGCTTTGCGTTGTCTAAAGTCTCAGAAGCGAGGGAGAAGAGGAGCTATGAGTTCGTCTTGACTAATGAAGAGATCGAAAGTAAAATTCAAAGCCTGGAAGGGGGATCGAAACGGCAGGAACCGAAGAAGGTCCAGAAAAGGTCTGTTGGGGAAGAACACGAGGAACGGGAGGAACAGGGAACGGAAATTGGACGCTGGTTCAATGAAAGGGTTAAGAGATCTCCGGAAGGAGGGGTCATCAAAACCTCCACTCAGTTTGTTCTTTACAGGATACCGTGAGATAATTATCGTTGACTCGCACTTAATACTCTTCCGTGCTCAATACAGAAAAGGACCTGGAAATGAGAGAATTATTTTGATACACCTCTTGTTTTTACAACAGAATTAGCAAACGCTTGTCAAATTGTATGGAGGACTCTTTTATTTCAAATGAAGAAACATGAATTGGAAAAATGCAGGATTATTTTTATGAGAATCGTCCTTTCGGATCAACCTGGGGAAAAAGAACCACTTTGCCTCCTCGGTACATAATGTGTAAAGGAGGACATAATGTGTCTTATTAAACGCCTTTCCACTGTTCAGAGAAATTATTTAACCCTTCCGTTGTATGTAGATTGAAATCTAACGAAGTGAAATGTTATTTCATTACCTTATACTTCATTCGAGCTCCGATGAATTAAAGAAGGTAAGGGAACAATTATTTATTTTCAAATTCATTCTGGTCGTTAATACATTAAAATAATGCCGAAAAGGGGTTTTATATTTTTTATTTCTCCTGGAATAATAAACACTTCAATAGGAGTACACTCTTCCTACGTATGAATTTTCAATATGGACATACATAGTCTGTTGGTAGTACACATTTTCCAATAGTTGGATTAAAAATTAATATTGTGCCACACTTCATATGCCACCAGGTGTAAGAACTCCAAGTTGGATAACATAAATAATAAGACTGACAAGATGAATCCGAGGTGTCAGGAAATCGCCCGCTAGACTGGCAAACGAATTCTGAAGGAGTTGTTGGATCGGTGGTTGGTTCAATAGTTGTAGTCGATGCGACCGTGGTAGTCGTAGTAGTTGTGCTCGTAGTTGACGGCGTAGCTGAGAACGGACATGCATATTCCGTAGGGAGGACACATTTACCAATATTTGAATCAAAGACTAACGTTGTTGGACACTTCATGAGCCACCAGTCAAATGAAGTCCAAGTTCGGTAACATAAATAATAGGACTGACAGGAAGAATCAGTTGTATCAGGATATCTTCCGTAAGAGTTGCATGTAAACTCCGCAGCTGTAGTTGAATCGGTTGTATCAGAATATCTTCCGTAAGAGTTGCGTGTAAAATCCGCAGCTGTAGTTGAATCAGTTGTTGTTGAAGGAGTAATAGTTATAGTTGGCGTTGGTGTTGCTGGAGTTGTCGTCGATGGTGTTGCCGTAGTCGTTATTGTCGTTGTAGAAGTTGTCGTCGATGGTGTTGTAATTGTCGTCGCTGTCGTTGCCGTGGAAGGTATTGCTGTAGACGGCGTTATCGTTGTTGGAGTTGACGTCGATATCGTTGTTGCAGGCGGCGTTGTCGTTGTTGGAGTAGTCGTTGATGGTGTCGTGGTAGATGGTGTAAATGTTGTTGAAGTCGTTGTTAATGACGTTGTAGATGGAGTTTCAGTAGTAGGTATCACTGTCGTTGTAAATGACGTAGTCGTAGATGGTCTCGTCGGTGTTATCGTCGTTGTAGATAACGTTGTCGTTAATGGTACTGTCGTTAAAGTTGTCGGAGTAGCAGCCGAAGTCTCCGAGATCGTGTTTGTAGTCTCAGCTTTTGTTGACAATGGACACGTATATTCTTCCAATTTCACACATTTTCCATTAGTGGGATTAAAAACTAACTCCGTTGGACATTTCAAACGCCACGAATTGTAAGAAGTCCAAGTTGGGTAACACAGATAGTACGATTGACAAGATGGATCTGCCGTATCGGAGAACAATCCGAACGAGTTGCAAATGAAATCTGCGGCTATAGTTGGTTCAGTTGTTGCAATTGCAGTTGTTGTCGATGGCGTGGTAGTAGTTGGAACCGTAGTAGTCGTTGATGGTGTTGTTGGTGTGGTCTTTTCGGTACTAGTCTCACTACCGAATTCAGAAGGACAAAATCCAAGTCTACATATCGGTATAGACGTAGAGTCACAATAAGTTCCTAATGGGCATAACAATGTCACCGGAAGTCCTATTATGCAAACGGTAACAGCGTTACAGGAATCACATTTCACGTGACTATCCTCGCATAAATCCAGGGATGTGGTGTGGCTGATTAGAGTCAAAACCTAGGGGATGCAACAACATAAATAAATAGGATGTGAAAAATATCGTTACGACGTTCATTTTTACAGGCAGACAGTGGATGAAGGAATTATTATCAATGTACTCACGATAAGAACTGTTAATTTCAAAATCATTTTGGTTCTCCTAGGTAGATGTCTTGCACGAAACAAACGTCTAACTGAAACAACTATCAAGGAGATACTGCAGATGAGCAGAAGATGCATACAAACCGAGGACGTGTGCCCTATTATCAATCCTTAACCTTCACGTAGAAGTCTTCATTATATTTACTTATAGATTATTTCTTAGATGTTGCGGATGATAGATAACATCTTCCCTGAATTACTGCTTGATAACGAGTACCAATTCCTTATTGCTCACCTCAGTCTTTCTCGCATTTCCTTTAGAAATTCTAAAACAGATTGGAGTTCCTCGTTGAAAAATATTCCTTATCCAAACATCATTTCTTCCACGTGGTGATAACGAGTTCTGACAGCGCACTTTAGACGTGACATAAATTAACATCCTGAAATGCATTCGCCTTTCATACATTTTTTTAATATCTATACGCAGATACCTTTCATATCCCCTTAAATATTTCGAGTTTCTCCATTTTGGCGCAATATATCGCAAAGGAAAATGTTTTATTAAAATGAATATCGATGACTATCCAACGATCATGCGTGGAAACTCATTGAAGAAGCAATATCTCCTCGGGGCCCATCGAGCATACGAATATGTTCAATGAACAAAGTCCTGGTTCATGTAATCGAATGTCAAACGGTAAATCGTCATCCGTGAGTATTCCCATTTTGCACGTATACATTTATATACGTGCAAAAGTGGCGGCCATTAAACTCGGTCGGACTTTCTCGACGCTTTCTGACGATTTTGTATTCCGCGGATTCACCCTCGATTTCCTCATTCCGTTGCGTTGTGCGTTAGTTGAGATCTCCCTGTATTCCATACAGTGCATGTTTCGCATACAACTCACTTATCTGCATTTTCTTCGCTCTTCCAGTAACCTTGCAACATTCGATTTCAACATTGAAAATCGATACCGAGAATGCAGGTTTATCGTGCCGAAGGACGTCGTAAAAGACGAGTCGTCCTACGCATTTCGATTGCGATTTAGCCGAATTACTTTTCATGTGATCTTTTTTTTTCGAACGTTTGGGAAAAACCAAAAAATCTGTTGTAAACTATCGAGCTAGTGCTACAGCGAACAAGTGTATCGTGTTCGTCACGTAAATGAGGAAAAATTATTCGATGCCCGAGGGTGGCGTATACAATTTTATTTCGTTTTCTTCTGTTTCGCTTTTACAATGCTCTTGAATTTTTCGGAGAAAAGGGGCAAAAAATGGTCCAGGTCCTTTCTATGGGGCCCTTCATTTTCTGGGGTCATTCCTTTCACAAAGGATCCATTAGTAACAGGTTTCGGGAAGGTTTCCCATTGTAGTCCTTCGAGAGGTCCTTTGGGTTGGCAACTGGTCAGAAAAAAGGAACTTCTCCCTGCAGGGACGCTCTTATCTTGATAGGACAAGAACTGCATTCCATAGGTTTTGGGCTCCTTCGGAGTCCAAGATCTGGAATGTCTGCCTCTACTTTTGCAGAAAAACTAACGAAGAAATAAATATACAATTGCGGCAAATATTCACATTTTTGAACATGTTTTTCTTATCATTGTTAAGACAGCGATGTAATACTTTCCCCCTTTTCTTTTAATCCGTTATGAAAAATGAACGAAGATTACGAAGAACGGAATTAATGATTCGTCATTGACTGAATCTGCGTGTAAACTGCAGTTTAACGTTAGTTTACCTTTTGCGATAAGTCTAACGATGCGTCAATATAATTTCATTTCACTTAAAGATAATATTAATGCGTGGATAACCAATGAACTTTGATCTAATTTTGTTCTTAAATATCGTAGTGGTACAATTTGGACGACGGTACGATATCCCCTACTTTACCCTAAGTTCAAAAGATAGGAACTTTTCATTTAAAATGGACCGTGGGTACCTAAATAGCCAATAAAAGAAATCCATCTTTCTTTCGACCAACCCCTAAGAATCCCTGACCTTGGTCCTCTCTGGCGGCCATTTTTCTTTCCGTTCCCCCGCTTTGCGGCCACTCACACCAGGGAACGCCTATTAGATCCAAAGAATGGTTACTGTAGGACAGGGAGAAGGTCGCGGAAGGCGAGTTAGTGTTGGTCGAAGCCGGGCTGGAGGTGGACGGGCCATAGTGAGTGAGTTCGAGAGTGTGAATATAAGTCAGCTGGGTGCAGACTCTTTCGGAGGACTCTCTCTTTGACCCTGGTCAAGTGCGCACCTCTCCACTTCCGAAAGTGTTTTTCGTGGATTACTTTTTTTTTCCGGGCCACAGGGCGAACGAGAATGCTCCGGAGGACTGGAACCGAATTTCGGATTTAGGATTTAGTTTGGGAATCTTTTTTTTTTTCGAAGTCGTGGTGTCTGATTTTGTGCCTTTTATTTTTGATCGGGGAACTAGTGAGATTTTACGACCCAGTGCGATGACTCAGAGACGCAGCTAGGATGAACCACAGACTCGTAAGTATTTCGAGATGGTGAAAAATGTATTAAGTTAGGGCAAGGGGAAATATGCTTTAATCGTTGATAAATATCGCTCGAAGGAAGACGAAAATTAGCTCCATATAATTTTTAGGTAACTGCATAAACATTGATGGAACGTCGGATATTATATATTCACACGATGTATATCAATCAGAAATTTGGGTGAAAATTTTCTCTACGATTCTCTAAATAGATATTCATGGAACAGTAGTCGGATTGATACTTTCTAACACCGATTTACCGTTTGTCACAGTTTTCGCAAGCAACGAGTAAAAGCGAATCCTCGGAAGGAGCTCTTTAACTTTTTCATTTCTATCAGTTAAACAAAACGATACTTCGAAAACTAATAATTATTCCTCCGAATTAATTTTTTTCTTTGTTTTAGACGGTTTTTTTTATAAGTGCAGTTCTTAAAAATTGGGTTATGGCCAAGTTTCTGTACGGAATATTCGTATGTGCGATGGTTGGAACTTCCGCGTATGACGAGTAAAAGCGCCTTTCAATGATTACTACAAGCTTGAAATTAATTTGGCGTCCGTGCCGGCATGCTCGGGGAGCACGTGGGTACATGCAGCATCACATGGCCGACTCTTGTAACCCACAGCCCACTTACCTACATTACGCGCACCACTCGGTGCACCTTTACCGAGTCTCCGTTGAGACTCTGTTCTCTGTTCAGTCAACCAATTTTTTTTTTCTCTGTGTACAATTGGTGCTAGCTGGTCGGTGGAATGCTCCTCCACGTTTGCTTTATTATTCGAAAGATTTCTAGTCCTTATGCTCGTTTTACCACGCTTCTTCTTCCGGCTCTCTCGCGAGTAAAGAGGAGAGTGTCGCGAGTTCTCGACACAGTTATCCTCGGTTCGTTCCTCCTCGGTTGTCGGTGTGGATCGTTCGCAAGGACTCATTCGATCGTGGCCTCTCGTTAAATCGTGAGAAAGTCGCACGCGCTTCAAATGCGAGCGTAAATTCAGGTTCTTCCTACGCACGCGAACACTTCCACGGGTTTTACGCGTGTCCCTGTACATTTCATCGGCACGAGTGCTCCCCACGTGCGCGGTCTTGTCATTCTTCCAGAATTCCACTTTTCTGCAAATCAAATAATGTAACTGTAAATTGGAGTTAATTTAAAGTATAAAACGCTTTTACCGGATTAACCTTCAACGTTCGGGATTATGCAAGGTGGAATAATGACAGTGAAAGTGAAAATTCTTGTAACGAAGTCGTCCTTTTCCTTCCGCTTTGTGGATGATGACGATGCTCAAACAAGATCGTTTTTGTGGTTTCCTCTATTTGCTCTTGTAACCGATAGGGGCAAGTACCATCATTACGAAGCATATATAGGATAACAGGTTTCATACTGACTCAAAAATCAAGAATTATCTGTAAAATCAACGTAAATTTTTATGTTTATTCTAAATTGTCTAAGAACGTGTTGAAACTAAGATGTGGTAATGAGAGTGTAAATCAGTGACCTAACTTACGGCGTAAAGTAGTGCGGAAGAACATAAGTACCATAAAATGGCATTGATGTCAAGATTTCTCATCAATAGAATATTTTCTATCATAATCTCCTGAGAAGATGGTTATTCTTTCTATCCACGAGGGGATGAATCAAAGAAACCGAAGGTGTTCTCTCGGATCGACCTAAAAACCCTCGTTAGTGCTCAAACAATTAGATTAATGATAATGAGCCTGTCTTTAGTGTGCACCTGAATATGAAAATTGATACGAAGAAGAGCTTCGCGAACGAATATCTTCGGCTACTAAATTGAGTTACTTCTAGATTGAGTTATAAGTTTTAAATCGGTTTAAGTGGTTATTCCGAAGACAAAGGAAAAATAAGACATATAGCCTTAAGTGGAATCAAGGTGCAATTTTAGAAGCGAAGGTGCTACTCGAGTAGAATATTAAGCCTTATTTTAGCGGAAATGGCGGTACCAGAATTATTTAAGGCGAGTATAAAGCCATTCTGGCAAAGGCTTCAGCCTTATTCGAGTTAACGACATTACCTCTGTGGGAAATCTGGGAAAGACTTCCAAAGAAGACTTTAAGGTCGGTGACATTTATTATGTGCCATCTAGTACCATTTTTTATACGTTACGTTTCGTACCTCCATTACTAAAAAAAATAATTTTCTTCGAATCAAAGGAATTATTTTCTCGGGGTCATGATTATGAATTTTCTGTCTGGGTATAAATAACCTTCCGATGGGAACCGATTTTCGAATAGTCTCATGATCCGCCCTTAATCAGCAAACTCGATTCCATGGGAGCAATGGCGAAAGTAAGATTCGGTGAGTACGCACGGGTCCATGTGTATTATGCGAGTCGGCGGATAGACGTAAATTCGTTCCCGCGATAGGAGCCCATTCTCACGAGAGACGACCTACTTCCTGGTGGAAGGTGCACCTTTACCGTACCTACAGTTCCCGAGTACGAGTAGGTCTTGGCTCGGTTATCCGGGCCCACCGTGACTGTGATAATACCTATGTAGGTGCAAGGTAACGAGCGCGAGCTCTCGTCTCTTGGGTCGGATCGTTACGTGGAAGGACATCCGCGGAGAGAGATCGCCGAGAGGCCGTGAATCGCGATTTTCCCTGCAGAAGGAAGACCGATTTTCGAGCCGAGAGAGCACCCGTGCCCCTGCACCTTTTACACCTGAAAGCCGATATATCGGGCGCCGTTTACGCGCCGGATGCGCGTTTTCTCCAGACTTTCTCGGGAAAAATTAGGCGGCCTCGATGGGGCTTAGAAATTCGCTAAATGTCACCCATGCCACTCTTCGACGCCGATCGAACTCTTCGCTGAGAATTTTACGATCGCCGATGAATAAAAGATATTTACTTAACCAAAGAAACAGGAAACACGAAGAATTAAAATTTCACTCGAAAATATATCCCTGGTTCAAGGAACAATTCTTTTCGGTGTAGATGTCGAATTGGACGAATTTCTTATGATTTCTTTCTTCCCTTTTGTGAAATTAATTTTTTTCCGATATGTTGTCGATTTTTCCAGGGTCCAGTCTTGATGCTATTGTTGGTCCTGGGGGTTGAAAATATCAGAGCAGCGTCGTTTCGGGATGGCCCAAAAAGACAGCCTCGTGTAGCCATCAATGAGTATTTAACACCTCCAGCCCTGAATGCTCCATATGCAAATTATGGACGACCATCGATTTCTGGACCTCCACCCGGATTTCCACGGAGACCGGGAAGACAGTTAAACCATCAACGACCAGTTACGGATAATTCCGGATATTTTTCAAGATTTGTTAACTGGTTTAACCCTTTCGGAGGAAGAGAGAGTCCTCCGACTCATCCTCAGTCTCCTCAGAACTCGCAGCCTCCGAGATTTGCCCAGCCTGTTCCTCCAAAAGGAGAATATGGACCACCTCCAGGGTGAGATCTATGAAAAGATAGTAAATGACAAGGACAATTGATTAAAATTTAAAAATGCCTGTTTTTCTATATTTAATTTGGATTATTGCATGAGAAGTAGAGTAAGATTGGATGGAGTTATTATTAGTGTCTATGTTCAGGTTTATAAACAAAAGTCATATATAGGTGTCATCCTGGGCCCTCTAGGTACAAGGATGCCTTCCCTCACCCACCTCCACCCCCACCTGCCCACAACCCAGGTGACTCCAGGTTGTATCGTCCCCCAAAGGAGAAAACCTGCAACCCGTGCAACAAAGTGCCCTGGATTCCAATTCCTGGTCACTCCGGAGGGGAGTTTTACGAATCCAAAAACGTGCACCAACAAAGTGAGATAATTTCGGACCACGACGTGGGAGTGGTGTCTCACGAGATCAAGACCCCAGACTTCAGTTACAACCAGAACGTATTTTCAAAACATGGAGGACAAGGGGATAACGGTCCACCCTTGGTTGGTCCGATCCCAAATCCGCATCTATATCCAGGAGCCATGCCACCACTTTTCAAAGCCACCCCGTTCCACGGAAGCTGGGATGATAACGTCCAAAATGGACCATCTACGTCAGGACCTCAATATCTCCCACCACAGTCAGGACCTCATGATTCCAACACGAATCCGTATCAACATCAAGAATTTGGGGAGGAACTACCTCCAGATGTAGAGGTAGCATCAGGAATAGATGGATTCAGACCTCCTTTATCATTCGCGTCTGAGGAACATCATGGAGACCAACACCATGCCGAATTTCAAGATACAGGAGGACTAAGCTCCGAAATCCAGCAATCCCAACTGGTTTTCCATCAGCAGGAAACTATTTCCGCAGGATCTGGGGGCTACTCCCTGAAGAGTCCATCAGGTCCTGGTCCAGACGCTGGACGGATTGCCCAACATCCAGACTCTCAAACGATCATCAAACAGCAAGAAGGAGCTGCAAGCTATTCGGCAAAGGATCAGACAGGGCACAATTCTGGAGGGTCAACAATAACTCATTCCATCAGTTACGAAGAGTCTCCAGTGATCGACCTGACAATCACGGATCATGAAAAGGCCCCGCAGAAGAGTTATCATCAGTTTTCCGAAGCATCATCCGTTGGAGCTGGAGATTCATCAGCGATTGGGGTCGAAGGTTCTCGGAAATCTGGAGAATCTTCTCAGAATTCTTATCTTCCTGTGGCACCCCAATCTTATGAGGACTCTTTGGTGGCATCTACCATCGATAATGGAACCGTTCACAATCCCAATTCCATTGGTAACGATAGGATTGTTACGACCAGTGCTCCTATCACCGTTGAAGATGAATTCCCGAAGGAGACGACCCAGACTCCGACGGATTCGTCGGAAATCTATACTCCAGCTTCCGGAGAAGAGTTATCAGCTACTCTTCAGGGACCTTCCGAACAGGAGTTAAGAGACAGCTATCAACAACGAGTTTTGGGACAAGGGACTCGGGATAGAAAGGCTCACCAGAATTCTGGAGGTCCACAGTGGTCTTATGGAAATGGGGAAAATAGTGGAGAAAGACTAGTCCCCGATCGTCCGTCATCTTTGTATGTACCATTCCCTCCTTACCCAGCCCGCAGTATTCTGGACCAAACTACTCCATCTTTTGGACCAACAACCGAAGAGCCATTCCTAGAAGCTCTCATGAAGTCTTACCATAACTTCAGACAAGAAGTGGCCATGGAGGAAAATTCCGATAGGGCAAGGCCAGGAAAAGATGCCAGAAATGAGCACTTTTCTAGGACCTGGTCTGGTGGGCAAAGACAATCGTTTGATTTTTCCTCCTCGTCCGAGAACTATGGTCCAGGAAATGGACCCTCGCGGGAAGACGTTTCCCAGCATCCGGGAGCCAAGAGGAACAAGCAGGTATAATCCATTCATCGTAATAAATTTTTACACCGCTTCATCTAAAAAAAATATGTCACTTCGGAGGAGAAGAGAGGGCATTTTGAAAATATCTCTATTTCAAACTCCTATTTATATTTTAATTTTTATTGTGTAGGTTCAGATTATAATTCCCTACACGTCTCAGCACACACCAAGTCCTTTCAAGCCTTCTTACGAAGACTGGGATGGTAAAGGTTCACTGAGGGAAGTCAAAGCCAGGAAGGTCCCATTTCCTGTGGCTAATTACGATAATTACGCCACTCAAGAGTCCAGAAAGATATTAGCAACCCCCCAGGTGCCTACGGACAGTCCAGAAGGTATTGTTCCTGGAAGGTCAGCCAACAATTCGATCGACGTTCTTCGACTGCAGAAGAACATTGACAACTGGACGATCCAAGTACGTATCTCTCTTTCGTATGTAAATAAATATTCAAGCTTACAATTAGGATTGCCACGAGTAACAAAGTGGGATTCAATTAAGAGCAGGGAATTAAATATACTTTTCATTACCAGGAATATTCCAAAGGAACAACATTTGCTAGCACGGCTCTGCCGACATCTTCTGGACCGAAACTGCTTCCTTCGAAGAAGATCCCCAGTGAATATCTAACTACGCCATCAGGTTCACCTGCGAATAGAATAGATAACGAAAATGAGGATGATGGGAAAGGGGGGACTCAAGTTTTACCTGGATTCAGCTTTAATGACTTGGAACACGAAGGATCAGCTAGTAGTCGTGTAGAGAGCTCGCGAGTTCAGGTAATGTTCAGGAGATGAGTGTTCATTATTTTATTTCACGCCTTATCATCCCGTTAGATATGTTAAATGTGTTTTTTTTTTTCTAGGTCATTTTTGCAAAACGTCCTACAACACAGCCAACAACAATCAAAATCGAGTCTGAAGGCACATCTCATGCTGCAACGGAAACATCCGTCTGGAGCAACACTTCCGAGTCTACAACGGCAAGAACAATTCTTTTATGGCAAAGTGTTCCGGTTTCGGTTACAACAAGGGAAAAAGAGCTCGTCTACGTGGTGACGCCTCAGTCGACCTCGAAATCCTCGAAACCTATTGAAATTCACAAAACTGATAACAATACGGAGCCAGATATCACGCAGAAGAGCGACGGTGAAAGTTTGCAAAAGGAACAATCCAAATCTCTCGGTTTCGAACTTATCGAGAGAGCTTATCAAGTGTTGCCGCAAGCCGTGAACAATTTGGCTGCTATCACGTCTACGGCATCCGAAGGTGCTCCACTTTGGGGGATTATGGAACACGAAGAGTATGTCAAAGTCGATTCCGAAACCTCGGATCGACCCAAACTGTACGCTGGACATTCCAAGGTATTTAATAAATATGTAGGCACATGTTTTAAATTTCAGTTGAGGATTCGAATTATATTGGATAGCCGAAAATAAAAGGAATAGGGACGAAATTGAAGAAAAATATTAGAGATTTAGTTTATATATGGTTTGATCATCGAAATAATTTTTCCTGTTTCAGGTGTCAAATGCGAGCCACTGACGAAGCTATTTGTGAACCTGTGAATTTTGGGTGCGAGAACCGTGATACAAGGTGTAATTAAGATAGTGAATGATGACACTAACGTGTGTGTATTTTGTCACGAATCTCGAGAAACTGAGTTTAATTCCTAAGAAGAGACAAGGTGCCTTTTTTTGACGTCCTCCATTTCGAAATTCGTCGAAACTTGCAGAGATGAAGTTTCCGGTGTATCTTTTTACGTGAAACCCTTTTCATGTTCTACGTAAAAACATAAAACCCTCGGATGAGAGGACGAGCCTTGAGAGTGATAACTACAATTAATATAAGTTATTGAAAAATATACGTAATAACGATTTTTCCATTTAAGTCAAGTCTCACGAGTACGCGCAAAGCATTCCCTACAGTACGGTGTAAATTTCATTTTTTTACAGAAACGGTCCGTGATGCGAAAGAATTATTTCTACATTAATTATACGTTGTTTGTGTATTATAGTTTTGCATTACGCGTGGTTAACACAAATGATTAAGTTCCATGTTGCAATCGTTTAGCTAAACGTGGCGATTCTTTTTGTAGGCGATGCAAGACTCGGTCAAATTATGTATAGAAGATCCGGGACAAGTACTTAAGGCTGTTAGTTATATGCAAATGTAATTGCAGAAAGCGGTGTATCTAATAATCTAAGTATTTTATTTAAGGCATCGTCTGTTGTACCTGGATCGGAAAGGGAAGCACGTCGCGAGACGTGCACAAGAGCCGCACTTTCGCCGATTTCGCAAGGACTTGGAACCCGATCAAAATGGGAAGACGCTCTTAACGATAGGAGAAAGGAGGTAAAAAAAATCGAGACAATACGTGAGGAGATTACGACAAAAGTTCGAACCTCGGAAGTGACCGAATGGTGAAAACGATTCTCTTTGACCGATCGCTCCAAGGAGAAAATGTGAAATTTCTGGACGGTGGAGACGACTTTCATTCTAAAGACTATTAAAATAATTAAAAATAATTGCACTTACTACTTCATCTTAGAATACGTGACATTCTGTCAAAATCCGTAACGAGTCATTATTATCTTAGATTTACTTTTAAAACTTTCAATTATTTCTCGTTCAGTAATACAATTGCTACTGTTGAAATATATTTTGCAGGTTCTTTCTTAAATCATCTTCATTCATAATACATCGTACTCATTCATTAAATTGTGATACAGACAAGTGCACATTTCAGAGAAAACATAATAACTTAAAAACGAATTACTGCTACGTAAGTACATTCTCAACAATTGTATATCTTGCACTAAACAAATATACATTTATTCTAATTTCAGGCAAAGAACACAGCGGTAAATCATACTATAGTCTTAATATAATTTTAAATAAAGCAACGCTCTTCTCGGTAAGTATTTATAATTTTTATAATTTACAATCTCATTTAAATAACGCTTATCACCCTGTCTCAATTTTTTTTTTACCTTGTACTGCCTTGTACTATAGTTTTCCTGGCATCAGTGATTTTTCATTCCTTTGTTCTATTACATTAACATTTTTCACTCTTGGACCCGCTACATATAAACATTTACGTAATCACTTATTCTTTCACTTTCTCATTCCGTTTTACGAATACCATTGTTTATCCCGTACAAATAATTCCGTCAGTCCTCATTTACCATTTTGTCATTCTGTTGATTCAAGGTTTTCCTTTTTTTAACTCTGCTGACAATAAATATTTCTGTTAGCCATAATACAATTGTCACGCCTGTTACACAGTTAATGAAGGTGATGCATAACGAGTAGCTTCCAGTTTTGTCTCTGATGACGCCTGCAAAAAGTAAGTAGAAAATTGATATGATAAAAAAGTACCGCTATTTACGGTGATTATGTTTGTTACTTAATTATCGTACCCAGTAATGGTCCAGCAATTAAGAGTATAAAGCCATTGACTACCATTTGGATGCCAGAAGCCGAAGCAAGTCTTTCGATCGGTACATGTGCTGGTATCACAAGAGACATGTATACAGATCGAATTCCTTTAGCAACTCCAAGACCAATTGCAACAATCAGCACCGATACAAAATTGTTCACGAATATCAGGGCTATAAATAATTAGTATCTTAATTTTTTTTGTGCAATATAGGGTGCAGATCATAAAATATTCGCCGTGATAAAGCTCTATTCGAACATTAAGGTGATATGAAATACACGATAAAATAGATACATTACATGTCCTGCTGCAAATCAGGAGAAAGAGACTGATCATGTACATCATTCTCGCAGACAGTTTGAGCCACTCCCCGATAAATGGGGCAATTCCTCTAAAAACGAGATCAACTCCCGCAATTGCGCTCATGGCAATGGCTATTTGTTCAGTGTTAAATGACATGTCCGATAGGATAAACGGAGTCAGGATTGAGAAATTAATCTCGGCGAAAATGGCGATGGACATTCCCATCATCAGGCTTACGTATATGGGATCCCGTAAGAGATCCAAGTCGAAAAACAATACGATGTTCTTCATCGTTCTCCAGCACGAGGACTTTCCTTTGTCTCTAAAGTTATTAAGAAATTTTGATATGGCATTTTCGAAATAATTTTTTTTTACCAACAGGGAAAGCCAATAAAGGAACTACTACCGACGGCTTGCTGCCATTGTTGTCGTCGTCGCTATCTTTCCCTAATTTCTTCTTCTCCAGCCGTTCCGAATCTTCCTTTTCGGAAAATGAACTCATCATTGCCTTTCTGTCTTCGATATATTTGCTCTTAGAGTACCCATTCATACTTTTTTGTGGAAGAGGTTTATATGCAGTGGACTCATCGAAAATTTGCAAACTGCTCCCAAGGTGAATGGTATCGATACTTCTACCTACGAAACGATGTCGGAAATTTCATTTCATCAATCAATTAAAAAATCATTATTCTTCATACATATGTGCCCCTTTCCTGACGGATTTATAATATCGAATCTACTCGGCTTTTTGCGATTTAAAGTGTGCGCAAGGTACTTTCTCATTTTGCAAGTATGCAAATATTGTTCGTGGGTGTTCATTGCCATTACTGACCTGAGCTCCACCATCGGTAATTTTGTCCAAGTCGAGGTCGAGGTGTTCCACTTCGAAGATGATCGTCGACGATCGAGTACGTCGAACCGCTCCTATTTTCTCGGTGATTACCTGCATTCCCATCATACAGCCGAGAAACTGTTTAACAGGAATAAGGAGATGCTAATTAAAATCGCCTCTAGCGCTCTTTGAGGTCGCCTTAATGCTTGTGAATAGTTTTTGCCTACTAGACGTCATTTGCTGCCGAGTTTCCGGCTGCAACGACGGTTAAATAAAATACAATTACGATTTTACTATCGAGATATGTGCTATCTCATTGAATTTAATAATAAACCTTGATAAGGGTGAGAAAGTCGGAAATCGTTGAATAAGACGAATTATGACACTTGGGTGATTTATTCGCTTTTTCATTCATTCCCGATTTCTTGTTTAAGTATGTCTTGGGTCATTCGCTGTAATTAGGTGCCTACTTTGTAGAAAAATTTAAAGATTTGAATGTTCAAAAATCAAACGGTATAATGAGTATGAAAAATACCTTGTAGACATTTTTAAAAGTGTCTTACCACTTTCGGAAAGCTGCCTCGGCATTGGTGTATCGAATCCATAAATACTTGCCGTTTCTACATCGTGATCGATACTCGAAATTGTTGGTCTTCTTCTCCTTTTTTCGAAATTCTCGGATTCGCAAAAAGAATCTCGAATGCTCTTACCTTCCTCCTCGGTTTGATTTCCTGAAAGGATTCGTTGGTAGAATGTACTATTTTTTGTTATATTTCAAACTGCTCCACATTTACTAATTACTACGCCTTTAAGGCACCTTCTTACCATCTGCACAATTTTCTGCCGATTCGATGTCATAAGAGTCTTCGACGACTTTAAGATGCCATTTGACAGGTTGCAGCAAAGATGCACCAACCAAACAGTGCAAACTAATTGCTCCAAGAATCAGTACCGTACCCTGACGAAAATGTCTGTCATGAGGAGACGAATATCCTTGGATGTAGGACCTTGGATATTCGATAGATATCCATAGATATTGTTACGTTTGCGGAAGATGCGATCGTAACAATATCCACATATCCAGATTATCGGTTGGCCGTCAAACGCGAAAATGCAATGCATGTTAAATTGAACGTACGAGACAAATGACTACTCCACACCCACAAGACTGACCCACATAGATTATTCCACCATTTGCTTCCTGTAATTTGCGATTTGCGATATCGATACCTCGAGCAAGTTCCTTGTTTCTCCCTCTTCGTAATAAATCATTCAGACCGCGAATCGTAATTCAGCCGCATTATGAAATTAAATGTTAATCAGTGCCACATTGTGTTTCAAGACACCGATGGCGAAACAATGCAAGAGGTTTATAAAGCGTTGAAATAAATTTTAGAAGGATGCTTAATTTTCAAAATCGGTTGTGGTGGTCAGTGGTCCTTTGTTGGGACACTTTTTTTTTTCCGTATTATTGGAATAATGGTTTTTGGAGTAAAGATACCTGGACGTCGTAAATTGATATCAGGAACGATATCAGCTGTGGCATCACGATGGGTCCTATACCGGTGATTGTCATCGCCAAACCCATTGCTCGTCCACGTTTTTCTTTAAAATAACTGTTCAGGGCCAGTGAAAAAGATGATACGACAAGACTCATGCCCAAAGCTGCGAATGAGTTTGAATTTAGAGAATGCGAGAGATGTCGATTGTTTGAGTAGGGAAATTAATTACTCACACGCCATGATGCCGTAGACAATAATGAAATGTACAAAACTCGTAGCGAAGGAAGTTAATATAATTCCAACTCCGTAAAACAGTGAACCGATAACAGAAATCTTCCTATATCCGAATTGTCTCAACAATGGCCCATTAATCAGACCCAGTGCCATTCCGAAAGCGGAGTTGACGTTTATAATGACAGCAGCGTTTGTTGCCGATAATTTTAAATCCACGAAAGTGTCTTTAAACAATAGGCCGAATCCTTGCATTATGGGGATGATCACTACCTGGAAGATAAAATCATTTCATGTACCAAGTACAGTAGGTACAGTAAATTTAAAAATGATAAGAAACACTAACGTGACGGTCGTTAGAAAAAAGTGCGAAATCTCTCGAGATTGCCTATTATTATTAAGATAAATGTTAGAAAAATTCTTAAAGCTGGACGAAATATTTCTTACTTACGTTATTTAAAGCGTAGGCTAATACGATCATCCAACCCCATCCTCCGTCCGGAGGTGCAGTTTTCTTATTCATTTTCTTGCAAGAACTGAAGTGCAGTTTGCAGACTTCTGCCACTCGCGATGTGATATGGTTCTGTCCTTGTCTGGAATACGCGATTGTCCCGCTTCCCTCTCACTCGGTCCTCAAACTTATCGTAGAAACGGCGATTCAGCCTGACGAAGCACTTGATCACCAGGATCGATGTTTCTCCAATCGTTCGCTTCTGATGCTTCTTGTAGTGGCAACTATCAGTGATGTCATCCCGGCTAGGTGGTATCTCTGTCACGCATAAATTTTCGTCAAAGGTTGAGATTGTTACGTCACGTGGAACCTGAATCGAACGCAATATGTCGCCATAACGTGATTTCCTCTGAATTTTCCTCGCTGCTTCCACTACTTTTTATTATGACATTAAAAAGCATAATTTTTGTAACTATTTAAACGCGCGTAATGGTGAGAGCTCTTGTATTATGAATATAAATTGTATTAATTTAACGGAATGACTGTTGACAACGGAATATGTTCAATCGCAACGTAATACAAGTTTGAGCGATAACTTAGCACGGAGTAAAGCTTAATCTAATCAGTAGTCATTTTTTCTCTTTTTCTGTATTACGTTATCGATACATAGAGGAATTTATCGCCAATATTGCTCGCCTGAGAATTCCGATCTAAGCACGTGATATTATTTCCGGACAATTTGTCAAAATAAATGCGCGTCTTTAATCCGAAAAATAATATACGACCAGAAGTAAAAAATAGGAATTATGAAAACAATTGTCAATATTATAAATAAACAATATTGTAAATATTATTTTAACTGCGAGTGGTGCAATTAATATTCACTTAACACGGTTAGTGCAGTCCACGTGGTCGAATTTGACGTCGCACTTTTTATAATCCGCGGTAAGTACAACTGTCAAATTTTGTACTGGACTCATTGCGCTTGTTGAACTGGGAAAACTACGTCACAGCTGAAGCTCTTTCTTTCCTTTTTGTGCAGAAGGCCTCGATGGTCCAGGATATCACCGTGAGAAAAGTCAGGACGTTGAGGCAGTGCAGGGTGGCGGTAAAACTTGACGTTGAATCTCTTATCCAACCGACAAATGGACCAAATGTCAAGAATATGATGCCACTAGTCACCAGCTGAAGACCGGAAGCTGCTGGTAATCTCTCCAGAGGGACGTGAGATGGAATTACTAGTGCCATGAAAATCGTCCTCAGAGCTTTCCCAGCCCCGATAAGAACGGCGATTGCTATGGTAATTCCGAAGTCCCGGACGTGCGCTAATACTGCAAACACATTGGCGTATGATGATCGAATGATGTTTATTGACAATGATTTTTATTCGTCACTTACTGATTCGACCAACAGCCATGGTACTAATTCCGATCAGGTAAAAAGTTCTGTTTCCCCAGTTGATATAAGACGTCACGAAAGGGATTGTTAGTCGACAGATCACATCCACGCTTGCCAGGACTGACATCGTCGTAGCGATTTGCGACTTTGTGAATCCGTAATCACTGAGGATAAATGGCGTTAACAGGGAAAAATTAATTTCCGCCAAATGTGCGAAATTAATTCCGAGCATTAAATTTACGTAAACCTTGTCACGCAAAAGATTCAAGTCGAAAAATATCACCAGAACTCGAGCAAATCGTTTAATCCACGATTCGGTTACATTTGTCCTGGATTTTTCTTGCACACCCGCCGAAAATTGCCCTAATGAGACCTAAAAATTAAATTTTTAACGTCAATTATTTAATTTGTAAAATTAGAAAGCCATGAAGTACATCTACAAGGGCATTATAAATTTAGTAAAAGCTCCAATGTGTTTCAGAAATTAATTAGCTTGTTTTAACAGTGTACCTTATTTTCGCAGCCATTCATCAAATTCGTTTTCTCAATCGAGTTTTCGTCTTCCGATAGACTTTCATTTTCGGAATCGGTTTTCAATTTAGTTTCATTTGATTCATTGACAACCATTAAATGCGAACTTTGTGTCGAGATAGTTCGCTTACGGCCTTCTGGTTCAATATGGTTCCTAAAAGAATTAAATTAAAAAGTGATACTTTCTGCACTTCGACGTTTCATTTAACGCATCACAACAGCAAGTAACTTGCCGATAAAAGTAAAAATAAAATTACCTGCTTAAGTTTCTGCAACTCGAATGATGATTTAATTCTCTGGACTGGCTCGAATTCGAAGAATGGCATCGGCTCAGATTTTTCTGTGAGGTTTCTCTTTTGGAATTCTTAAACGAAGCTAATGATGTCGAAGATGTCAGATTTCTGGAAAACCTGGAAACGATGCATTTCTCACATATTTCATAATCACTTTGGATCCTGTAATGACTTTTCAATATTTCAAGTCACCATAACCATTTCAAATGTATGGCTGCGTCACAGTAAATGACTAATATCGACGGTCGGAAAATTTTTAATTAGAACAATTATTAATACAAACCATCCGTCATTTGATCTCGACATCATCGGAGTACCAGGGCCAATAACGTCGAGTCCGGAAGCTCCGGAAACTTCGTCATCGTAATACAAATATTGGCTGCCAAATTTTGATTTTGAGTTTGTACGATCTCCAGAAACCGACCGACGTCTCGCAACAAAGTTTTCCAAAGACTTGCTCCGATTTTCGTTGAGGAAATTCTTCTCCTCGACTTGTACGCCCTTCTCCGGAGCTTGTTCCAAGTCCTTGAAATAAATACGTCTTATCAGCCCATTTGCATATTAAGTACGGTTAACATGAAATATCGATGTCCTTGCAGATACAGGAAACGGTAACAATAGTAGATTCAGAAACATCGCTGGATCGGATAGGAAACTTAGAGGTGCAAATTATCGATGCACGACGTGGAAAAACACAGAATATGCTTTTCAATTCTTGCGGGAAATTTAAATCAGCTCTTGGTTAGAGGTTATTGAAATCTCAAGATTTTTCGCTTTATCTGGACACGAGGAGGAGAAAGCGGTCGAACCGGAGTGCCCTGACGAGTAGGAGGTGACCAAGAATATTCATATACAGTGACAAAATGCAACGAAAAATTACATTTAAAAGCAAACAGACATTTTTTACTAAAAGATTATCAGCTAATAATTGACGTTTTATTTTTTCTGTAATTTTTAGGGCTTTCCATCATGCCGAAGGATCGATTGAACGAGTGCAGAACACAAACGTAGTTTTGTAATGGAGAACGTACTTCGACAAGGAATGGTGGGAATGCAACGATATAAATAAGTGAAATGAAAGTGGATCTACGTACAGTGCATGAACGGAAAACCCGGACTATTCTTATTTAATCGATAACACAACTTTCAGCAGATTCATCAAATCTGCAGACAGAGAAAGCGGCCGAGCTCGACATATATAGATTTGCATACAGGATCGAGAAATTAAATGCACCGTAAATAGCGTGTAACTTTCTGAACGAGTCTTATCTGAGTACTTACAAGATCTGCAATGAATTCTTCGATTATTCGAAGGTAAAAGTAGTTAGACTGGAGCGTCCAGAGTAATTCGCAGAGGGATTTAAATTCAATCGAAATGCAAGTTAATATGTGTGGAAGAAGAATTATCATAGTCGATTACGATCTTGCAGATATTATTAGACAAACTGTCAACACTTACGACTTGATCTTCGATTTCCTTCTTGGTGTGCCATCTTACTGGTTGCAAAAGAAGACCACAAGCGATGGCGTTGAAAGCGAGACCACCAAATATCATTATTGTACCCTCCACCGAAAATATCGGCATGAGTACAGTGATAAACTGGGGAAGACACAATTAATTTACACATTCGATTAATTAAGTATTCCTCGTGTTACTTCTTATACCCAGCGAGTAACAAAGTGCTTCATCTATCCGATGTCTTTAATTTTTCCGCTATTTTTTGTAGCTTCCGCAAAAAAAAGGAAATTTTATTGCACGTATTGAAGATATCCACATTCTTGACGCTTTTCATAATCGGTATGCATATTGACTAGTAATGATTTACCGTAAATATCTAAGAAAATCTGCTTTTATTCAACACTAGTAACTGCATTTCGTGCGACTTCCCTCTTTTCATAGTTTTGTTCCTTTTGGTGGAGGGTTCGAAAGTTTTAATATTTGTTGCAGACATTCCGACTCGCTGGTTATTTCGGGTTGTCGATAATTTATACGTCAGATGTTATTTATACTTGAAAATTGAATCACCTGGGGCATGACGATTGGCGCCAATCCTGTTAAGGTCCAACAAAGTCCAGTCGCGACTCTTCTTCTTTTCTTAAAGTAAGTATTCAAGGCGAGCGAGTTGGAGGACATAGTGAAGCCTAATCCGATACCTTTGGAAAATGGAGGTGTTCCGAATTAATAAACAATTCTTGCAGTTCAGGATTTATATTTACATACCATATAGCACAGAAAAGAAGACAAGGATGCCGGCGAAATTTTTCATCGTCGATAGCGCGGTGATAGATGTGGCTATCAGAAAAGCACCTAAGAGATTAACCTTTCTGTAGCTGAACTTCCGAAAAATCGGTCCATTTGCCAATCCTGAAACAGATAACACGTTAAAAGCAGAATACATTTGTCTCAGCGATTTTCAAATGGAAATTTCTGGGTAATTGCAAAAACGTTCCGAATCTTTCGTCCGTGTTATTCGCGATAAACGAGTAGAATCACGTAAACTGAAACCCTTCTGCTTTACCCTCATAGATATCTTGTTTTCACTTCGAAGAATTATTTAATACTCCGGTACATAATTTATTGCTAGTGAGGTTCGTGAATAATTCAGTTCTTTTCCTCGTAAGTAGTACTCTTCCTTTCCGGGTTATGCAAGTGTTGTACACTACGCAAATTAATGTTAATTCGATTCATCCCATTGAAACAACGCAATGCTTGTAGAGGGTTTCATTTGATTTTCCGGTAATGAAAATTTAAAAATCATGTTCGGGAGAAAATGAATCATTAAGGTAGAGCTAAGTACAATATGGCATTAAACGATTTAAATTCTACGATTCGGACAAAAGTATATAAAAAAAGGCTGAACTCTTCTACTTGTTTATAAATTAGTCTCAGTATTCGGAAACTAAATAATAAGTGATTATTTAATTGAACGTTAGAAGCATAAAAATTAGCACAATCATATCCTCCATCGGCTATAAAAAGGTTATCCTCAGTTTTTCATTGTTCATAAATTAGTGCCATTATCATAAACCGAAAGCATCAATATGATAATTTCGGAAAATTGAAGGTCGTAATCAGAAAAGTCTGCAACGTCCATAATAAGCGTTAAAAATTTTATTCCTCTGATTTCTGGATAAAACTGTTCCGTATCGAAACGAGTTTCCAATCGTATCCTGTCAGAATCTGTTCAAGATTTACTTATATGCAGATTCCTCTCAGATAAAATCGGAGAAACTCACGTACTCATTAGTAATCACTGAACTAACAAGGTCGATACTTATCGTTTTACTTATTTAACAATTTGAGAAGGAATACAGTCCTGCCAATTCATCAAATGCTGTTCACGTTTCATGAGCGAATAACAAATCCTCATTATATCATGCCTTTTTCTTTTTTTGTTAGAACTATTGTGCTTACCTAGACATGCTGTAACTGCAGTATTTATATTAAGTATGGTTGTTGTTTGCGAGGACGAGATGCCAAGATCCTTGAAACGATCCCTGAAGATTAATCCAAAGGACTGAATCAACGGGAGGCAGCAAAACTGAAGTAATTGTTACATAGAAGTTTTTTAACAGCAGTTTCATATATTACCGAGAATAAGATTCTGAAAATAGTTTCAGCAGAAGTTTCATTAATAAAAACTCACATTTGATAAGCCTGCTGCTAAAACAATTACCCAGCCCCATCCTCCATCAGGAGGAGCGAGTCCATTGAGATCGTTTGGACCAGGTTTCTTTTTAATGTAGTCATCATCGTCGTCATCTTTTTCGTGTCCTTTCATCTTTTTCGCCATTTTACTGCGAGTATAAGAATTACCATCATGAATAAGGTAAACGTCCAAATAAAGTGTTTATCGATCATGGGCAAGAATTTTCTGCGTTACATCCTGTTGATCGAATATTTTTGTGATATTGTTTAGTGTACTGCTACTTTAATTTCAATATTGTTGATGTAACATACATGCAATATAGTGCAATCGACAGTCAATGTTGCATATTGTTTATATGATGTAGTTTTACAGATAGTATGTTACATTTTCATAATTCTAAATAGACCAATGTGGTCGTTTTCTAAGGACATAACAAGTTTCGCCGTAATAAGTTAACGACAGTTCATTACCATTGCAGATTACGAGCAGCGCAATCAATGTAGCAGTAATGTTTTGTCATAAAAAACCGTTGCAGTTTATTATTTTAGAAGTATGCATGCGTATTGCGTGCTGTAATAAATTCACAACATTTTTCCGCTCAAATGTATGTATTGTACGACTGCAAAGTTTAGTTTGAAAATATCGCGTATTAATTCGGTAGACGTGGCCTCATTTTCCTCGATTTCTCTTGTCGGAAAGGAAATATAATTAAATGACGGTACTTGATCATCGCGATAATACTTGATCATTTTTTTTTCTTTTTTAGCCCAAGCTTAACGAGTTTTACGACGATTTGAAGAAACCTCATTAGAACCCCTGAATTCTGAAGATCACTCGTGTACACGTGTACAAGGTAAGGTAAAAACATAAGAAAAAAATTTTCATCTACTCCTTAAGTCCAATCCTGAATTTTGAAACACTTTGGACCAATTTTTTCCTTCACCTCGTTACATGCGTTACCATCTTTTTTCAACCTAAGATTAGCCAGATCAGCAAATTGAAAAAGATTTGTAAAATCCCTAAACGCTGAAGAAACTGCATACAACGATCTTGGATCTCGTTACACTTTCATCCAGCTTTTTCCTTCACTTTCTCACATACCTTTTTATCTCTTCCTAGTCTAAGGCTAACCAGTTCCACGACAATGTAAAGTTTCACTAGAATTCTTAAGTGCTGCGGAAACTTCACGTACACGCGCGTAACAACGAACCCCAAATTGCGAAGTTCACTCCTGAAGCTCGATGCACATTGTCCGGCCTTTTTCTCCACTTTATCACTTTTTTAAATTTCTAATCGGTTTAATTGATCCCACGAGAAATTTAAGTAATCTCGGTAGGATTAAAGGACGCTGAAGATATTTTGTTTAGATATTCGCGATGCAAAGTTATCCTCACGAGTCACCCTCTGCTTGCAGTCAAGTTCAACCCTGGGTGCTGGTTCATTTTTATAAGATGATTTTTTTTGGTTCTCCCGTGTAAGCCTAACTAGTTCCACCACTGTTACTTACCTTGGCGTAGTTATTTGCTTGTTCGTTTTGTACAATACCTGTCCGTAAGTGCGAAGTAGAGTGGTGCGGATGTGAATCGCGACTACTCGGTAAAGAGCTTTTCGAAGAGCGGGAGGGTCGCACGTGTTCACACACATGGGAAAGGTGGAGGAGACGAGTGTGAACCCACTTACCCACTTACTTGACCACCTGTTCACCCACGAACTTGGTATTGGTCAGTGTCCGTGCTGATCCGAGATGGACCACGAACTCTTCCGGATCTCCAGGGGAAATCTGCCAAATCTGCAAAAATGATAAACTAAAACAAATATCTACAGTTTTCTGTCATGTAAAAATACGTCACACGAATATGTGTGTCGTAGTTTCGATAAATTAATGGTAAAATTGGTCACAGGGTTTTTGAAATTTAGAATTAAAAATGTTCATAACTTTGAAATCGATGGTTAAAATAATATCTAAAAACGATTTGAATGACCTCCATGGAATCGACCAATTATTGGTCATGGAAAAGTCCATTTCACTTTTCTACGGAATTTCTTTCGCAATTCCAGATCCATAGTGACTCGTATTTGGATTAAAACAGCTGTTCATACTAGGTGTTGCCTTCTCAATTAATTAAACACCAGTTACCTGTATGCCTTCTTGGCATTAGAAAAAAAGATCTAAAGTATTTTTTAGAATGAGCCTGGGAGGATAAAACATTCCGATAGCGTTTGTTTTAAAGTTGTTCGTTGTCCACTTCACGACTATACTATACTATACTACGAGGATGCTTATCTTCTAAAAGACATAATGATTTCTGAGTGATTTAAATTCAAAGTCATTATTGTCTGTGTCCGATATCTAGATCTGCCCCGTTCTATACAAAATATAATTGTAATGATTTTTTTATACGATGATTAATGAGTATACTTACGTAAACGGTTAACTATCCCTTCATTAGTGTAGTCGAATGACGTGTAGCATGTATCTCACTTCTAAAGTCAGAATTTGTTCTTGACAGATATTTTCTATCTCCGAGATAATCGAAGGTTAAGTCCTTCGGTGATTTTTTAATCGCATCTATATAAATAATTTATTTAAAAACTGCACAGCGCCGCACGACGTTATTCATTCCAGCGAGGCTATACTTCTGCGTAATTTTTAGTTAATTTAAATACATGTTAATTATCATTTTATGCATGTTTATTATTTTTCGAGAATTGACAGCATCTTCCTACACAGATTTGTGACGATCAACTTTTTCTTGGCAACGAATGATTCGCTATTGAGGAAAATTCTACTCTTCGGGTTAACTCGAGGATAAACTCGAAGATAAACCTGACAAATCAATGCATGTCACGTCTCGAGTCAATGCGAGGGAAATTGATATCTATTATTAATATACGATTTAAGGATTGTGTTACCCCTATGTAGTTTATTAGCTAGAGCATATGCAGACGTAAATTAATTTTTTTTAAAGTAATACCGTTTGTTCACGCTTTTGGAGTATTCGTCGGAATTGTTGACTGAACGAGTTTGCTAATCCAAAATTAATTCAACTTAATATCTAATCATTTGCTTAATAATTTCCGCGTAATATCATGATTTATGTGAATGTACAAATGGTAATAATGTTTTCTGGGTTTTTATTCTTTTAAATCTTATAAAAACAAAATTTCTTAGGTTCTACGCAGGGATTCTTATCGAGGCAGTATCATTTTCAGATCTGATAGGTTCTTTATTGGTGACAACATCTTCTGCCAACCAAAGAAAAACACAGAACATGCTGAGAGCGGATGTGAAGTGAAGAGCGATCACATAACTCCCAGAATAGTCTCTCACGATTCCTGTTTATGGAGAAAAAAAATGATTAGTAAAAACTTGAAACTGAACTTAACCAAATTAAATTAAAAATTCGGAAATAAGGTCATCTGAGATGGAATGTTAGATAATCTGTGGAGAAGCGAAAAAACAGCACATTTTAACGCGAAAAGTGGAAATAGAAATCATGTCGTTACATAACTCCCAAAATAGTCCTATATAATTAACATGGCTCCCGGTATTTTTAAGTAAAATAAAGAAAATGGAAGAAACTGAAGGTTAACATTTCAGGAGTAGGACGAGGCAGAAACTGAAAGAAAGATAAAAGTTAAACAATCGGCAGGGTAAATATTTCAACAAGGAAAACAGAAATTGATGTCGAGGAGGAAAAAAAAAAAACAGTTCTCGGAATAGTGATAAGATGGTGGATATTTCCAGGTTACAAGGCTGGTACTTGTAATTAATTGAATAATGAATTACAGTAGACTTTCATATAATGTTATGCGCAATTCAACCGTTATAGCTGTTTTGATACTTTTACTGTACGAATTTACGGCCATCATAATTTCTCATTATTTTTGAGGTTCGTACAAGCTCCGTCACATGCATATCTGGAGCAGAAGAATCCATTGTTGACTGAGAAATTGCATGATTTGATAAGAACTCGAGAATTAAAACGATTGTCATGTGACTGATAGGAGAACCTGTCTCGTTCGTTTTATAATAGTGAGCAGAAATACGATCTAAAATTTGTTGTACCTATGAGAGGACCTAAAGAAACAGCGGCAATGCCATTGCAAACTGACAAAATGCCGGAAGCTGCTGGTAATCTCTCCAAAGGAATAAAATCGGGAATTACTAAAGCTTGGAATACAGCTTTAGTTCCTTTTGCCACTCCAACAATCAGAGAAAGGCTCAGCATGATAAAGTTGTAGGAATGGTTATCAAAATTCAAGACTGAAAAACAAAACATTAATATATAAATTATATGGTCGAGAGGATTTTTGTGGAAACCTCTATTGCTAAAGAATTTTGTTAGGATCAAAGCTTGATTCTGGAGGAAATCTCGATTTGTAATATTTTTCTTAATCCTTTTTTGTAACGTTTTGTTAGTTCTGTTTATTCGGTACCTACTCACGCGTTCTTCCTATGGTGAATCCTATTAAAGAGATGATGTACAGACTCCTCGGCTTCCATCCGATTCGTTGGATCAAAAGTGGAATGCAAAATCGTGCCAAAATGTCGGCAGCTGCTTGGACCGACATTATCCTCGCGATTTCAGTTCTTTTGAGTGATGACATATCACTCAAGATAAACGGAATCATAAGATTGAAGTTGGTCTCTGATACGAGAGAGACGCTCATCCCTATAAAGCGGTAATAAAATGTCACCCAGTTTATTTTATGAATTATTTAGAAGATTATTTTTTTCTTTGAGAATAATCTTACCTACAACAATAAAGAGGTAATGTCTATCACGCAAAAGGTCCAAATCTAAAGTGTTTGCGATTTTTGAAAAACAATTTCGACTTGCCGAGTTATCGCTTTCTTGTTTCCGGCTTCTTATAGTATTTGTACCCTTCGTCTTATCTATCAGACATTTTTCAGTTTGGTCAATATCTGAGGTATTGTTCAAGTCTTTCAAGATTTCTTCAGGATGTCTTTGCGACGAATTGTTAAGAACTTTCATCTCGTCACAACTTGACGATTTAACTGTTTGATTTTCAGTCTCTTTTAGATTTCGCTGGAAAGATTAAAATACCTTGAACTGAAATCGATTGCAATTTGAAGATGTCTGGCTTCGTTACCTCATTACTTATAAAAGGTTTCAATAAAGATGCGCCAATGAAGGAGTGCATCGCAATTCCGCCAAGGATTAATATAGTGCTCCTCGTAGAATATTTGCTGATTAAACCGTCGATTAATAATGGCATTAAAATTGGTCCCAGTCCTGTTAACGTGACGGTGATTCCCATTGCGACGCTTCGTTTTTTTCGAAAATATGTATTTAAAGCGAGGCTGGTGGCGGGATAAATAATTCCTAGGCCGATCCCTAAAAGCAATAAATATATATTAAAGAATTACTATTTTTATGGAACGTCCTGTCAATATATATTTAGTGTATATCTCGTTATATGTCAAATGGAACCGTAAACGCGAAATGGTATCAGTAATTTTTTCAACATTTCATTGTAGACGTTTTACAAACTATCAGTAATACTTCGTTTGCGTTGAATAATCTCCATTTCGCATTTCCTCTTACCAATGAGAATGCAATAAGTGAATATGATGCTTGGCAAAGAATCGGCGAATGCCAATGCGCATATTCCTAAGACAATGCAAATGCTCCCAAGATAGGCGACGGTTCTGAAGACGAACTTCTTCAACATCGGTCCATTTAACAAACCCATTGCACAAGTCATTGCCGAGTTTAGACTGAAAATCAAAGAGATCTGAGTAGCTGTGATCCCCAGCTCCGAAAATCGCTCCTCAAAAACCAAGCCAAAACTTTGTTGAATGGGAAGGACGGTCACCTAAAATCGAAGAATTTATTAGATGACTACAACTTAGCAAAAAAGATTTTAAATACAACAATGGTTTTTCAGAGTTCAGTAAAATATTTGAAAAAGGAAAAATACCTATTACTTTACGCAGTTGAGGGAATGTAACTTTCCATGTCCTGTATAAGTAACACATTTTTCATATATTGCATTCGCGTATCAAATTATGCATTACAATTTTTTGTATGAACAATTTCAGCTAGATGTGAAAAGTTTAGCCGTTTATTGTGCAAAGAGAGTATGTTCACTAGGATTAAAATGTATGTTGACTCACGTTGATGATAATCACTGCGAGAACTATCATCCAGGCCCAGCCTCCATCCGTCTGGGTCATCTTCTTCGGAGTATAGTTGACGTTTTCGCAGTGTCCATTGCAAATTCTGAGATTTTCTTCGGGATTCTGCAAAACTCGACTTCCAGGCATAGCTCCGACTGGTAATTGTCACAAGTCTGTATTCAGTCAGACTTAGTCATTTCGAGATAAGATACAGATTGCAAAGACGTTCTCAAATATCGTGGGTTATTACCTACCAACGATTAGGAACTTCTTCGACAAATTTTAGCTACATCGAGATAAAATTAACAACTTATCCTTATAATTTTTTATTTCATAAAGTACTCCAGTTAGGTTTATCCAATTTTGATCAGACCACTTTAAAGGCGTTTCGACTGCTCATGGATTTACCCAGTGATGGCAGCGTCTCTGTAAACAATTTACAATTTTAACGTACGTGTTTTTAAACCAACTGAACAACTTAAAATTAAAATAGATAGACTCTGTTAATCCAGCGGTGTTTATAAAATCAAAGCTGAAGCACTTCAAGGTAAACCAGAAGTACAATGCTGACATTTAGAGTAGTTAAAATGCATAAAAAATGAATAAAATCGATCGAGGTCTTTTAATTTACACCTTTTTTCATTTTCTAGGTGAAAGGTAGAACAAAAACCTCGTATCGGTTTCGACATGGACAAAGCTGGAACTGCGCAGAATGAGACGTGAAAAAGTCTTGCGTGAAGAAATGACAGGTTTCAATTATTTAGAAGAAACATGGCGGCCCTTAATTGAAAACTCACCCGTCGTTTTTTCATGGTGATTGTTTACGAGCACGTTTGGTTATCTCCTTGCATACACAGTGGATTTTATTCGCGACGTCGAGACGCCATACGAGGTATGTTTGACACTTGGAATATACTGAACAAACTGGCATAGCGGGTCCGACTTTCATGCACGTTGCGTAGGCGTTCACACGCACAGACGTTTATATTAAAAGCGTGCGTGAGTGCGGCCGACGTGAAGATGTGTCTCTCGCGTACACTCCAATATGCAGATGCATTCACAGGGTGTTCAATAATACAGCACCAAAGATATCCCTGGTATCCCTCGATTGTCTGTCATCTGGAAGAACGCAGTAAGCATAATTGTGCGATAATTAAAAATAAATATATCGCTCTCCGTTTATTTTCGTCTGATATCAGTCATCTAAGACTGTGTAAGAGTAATGTAGCAGGTACTTATGTATCAGGAAGTATGTTGCATCAACACTCGTGAAACCGAATAAACACGAGCTAGCTGGTATCTTTATAGTTTTCGTGAATTCTAGGACATCTTGGTCTATCTTTTATCACTTTGTCAATAAAATGATGCTTCGTCCGGTACGTCATTTACTTGTGACCATGAGTTGGAGATATCCCTAGTTTACCAGATGAACAGAAGCGACTATTTTAGATTTATTTAAGTCAATGAAATTTAATTTCCGATCAAACGTCATTCAACTTTTCCCTTTAAACGTTACTCTTTTAGAGCCTATACAATGACTGCAGCCATTGCATCGGTGCATATCTGGTTGCATACCAACGGGCGGGAATTTGGGCTGCACGAAGGCTACACGACTTCGCGTACTCCAACAATTCATTTTTTAACTGGATGAAGTCATATAAAAAAATCTAGACAAGAGAGGTTTAATTCTCAACTGAGAATGTGTACTATAACTCAGCTGAGCAAAGTTACTCAACCATGATCTTTGACGTAGCAAGGTATGTCACCAAAATTGGCTGCTCTAATCATGAACCAAGATTATCTTGCTAGAGTTTTAATTGTCGTCTCTTTACTCGTAACGTATTGTTCATGAAAAATGGAGATGGACATTTCGTGGACACTCCATGGATATTGACACATGCAATGTCCATCAATGTGGGTCCATCTTTGAGTAACAGAAATGCAGTTAAATTCCCAGGTGTAAGAATCGACGATTCTCTCGTTTTGTTTTGAACCTATTGACGTGCAATAGGGCCAAATGACGATTATGACAATGCAATTACCGGTGCTTACCCACTTGTCCACTTGACATGGCCTGCATACGCATTGGAATCGAGACACCGACCACGAAACCGGACCATGGGGAATTATCTGGTCTCATCTAGTGTAAACTGAAAATACCGGAAGCATTTTCATCTAGGGGAGACGAAAGTGCTTTACTCCAAACTGTCGCAATTACATACGTAAAAATCATCTACACCCTGAAGCATAGTTTTCATTTTATCACAATAAATGGTGAATTTCAATAGGAGAGAAATTGTCGGTCAGAGCGGTACATTCCCCTTGGCCTTCTGGTCCGTTGTTAACAACTAAATCCAATCGTACCCTGGTAGTATATCACTTGCCGAACTAAGTCAGCGGTACATAATGTACGGTGCTTGATAAGGGAATTTTTATTGAACCAGTCTCAGATCGAAATCCTCCTGCCAAGTTCGTCGCACCACACTTTGCCTTCAGTCGGTGTCCAAGTGTTCTCCGAGGACGGAAAAATAGGCCGACTCTATCGAGAATTATTCTCGAATTGACAGGTACCTTAAAACGTTCCGTCTCTTATCAGCCGGTCCACAGAGTCGACTTTTTCGTCCCCATCGACATTGTTAAGCTCTTTATTCCGTCTTTAAAAAGTGAAACGTGTTACTTCAATGATATTTCAAGGCATGAGATGCGGATTGTTTTATAGAAATAATTGGGACAGAAGTTGATCAGAATTGTTTACATTTTTATTACGATCGCGTTTTGAAAAGACGAAGGCAAAACGTTTGACGCGATTTGTCGACTTAATTCGGATACATCTGGGAGAATAATTTATAGTTGATGTTTAGTCATCTAATGTGTCCCGTCAAGTGAAATTGCACTTTCCGGTGGTTGAGACAAACGAGACTCTACCTCAACGGTGCAGGAAGTGTAGAAATCCCTCGACAAAAGCAGCTTCGGCCATTATCCGGAACGTTTCTTATCATAAACCATCTCTCTAAGTGATCTCACATTGAGGCATTTCTCTAAACGATCTCACATTGAACCATTGACAACCACGTTCCCCTTCACGTCTTCAACACCAATCTCAATTGCGCCCTTCCCATGAAGTCATACGAGACATAACATGTCCATCACTCGCAATAAGCTCAACGTAATGGAATTCACGTTTTAAGCCCATAATTTTAGAAGAAACATCCAAGAAGCATTGACTTTCCGCGGTGACTTATCGCGTTTCCTCCCTCGTTGAGAAGAAACGCGTTTAACGTGACGTTTCAACGTTATTTGAAGATGTACCGAACGATTATTTGACGTACAGGCCACGTTTAAACGACGTTCACGTGACACGACTGAGACGATAGTTTGAAAAACGTAGAATAGACGTTACATCAACGCTTGTCATGGAAGGGCGGGCATTGGACCGCGTAAAACACTTTATAGGCTTACTGTGAACGGTTTTGCACCATTTCTAAACGTGTATTCCACCACTTTGCGTTAATCGGGCTGTTTTCGCCCTAATTTCCGGAGAGTGCACTTTTAGATTTCCCCAAGACGCGCATTTCTTCCTGCGTGAAGGTCGTGAAGGGAGCAAAGGCGATCAGACATTGCAGTCGCGTTGCGGAGTCTGTCGGAGGTTTCTGTGTTTCTCGGGTATCGTTGGGTGCTGTGATAAGGGGGGAGGTTCCTATCTCCTCGAGTGGGGGACGATTTGTCTCGTAAATGCATTTTTCTCCCTCGCGTGTCACTGTCAGTGCGCGGGAGTGCCCTCCTTGACAGCCGGTGGACCAGCGTCCTCCGTTTGACAGCGATCAGCTGATCGGCGCGATGTGACGCGCCCTGAAGAGTTCTTCTCGGGGACGAAGAAGTCGAGGATGTGGACGTCGGCAGGAGGTCCTCTTCCAGAAGTAAGTATCGGCATGGAGGATCCTCCGGGTAATTGTTCCTGGTGATCTTTGCAGAAGACCCTCGGAAAGGTATGACGACCTCCGTGAACGGGATTAAGGATGTCAACGTTGTCAACGGAGATATTATCAGTAAACAGATGGATAACGCGACGGAGAACGCGACGGAAAGACTCCTCGAAGTCGAGATCCTTACCAAGGAAGACTTGGCTCCAGATGGAGGCTGGGGATGGATGGTCGCCCTGGGCATGATCCTGGCTTTCGTAAGTGGCTTTATCCATCCGCATGGCTCGGGGGAAGGAATTGTCTCGCGTAAGGTGATATGAATTATCATTCTATACATGAAACGGCAAAATTTATTTATAAAACTTTTCTCCAAACTGGATGCACCGAATCATTTGCAATTCAGCACGTGATTATGGCTGTAGGGAAGAACGCGATGCTCGCGAAACTTCAGTTATCAAAAAAAAATAAATGTGTCCTTCGTTCTAGTCTGAGATAACTAAACAAATAATGGGAAATTTCCAGTTCTGACGAATTGCAAAGAAACTCCGTGTATACAAAAAATTGGTTATCAGAGAGTGTATAAGAAGGGATGCACTTTCTTATATCGAGCGCCTATTTATCAGACCCGCAATGATTACTTTGACTTGTTTATGGTTTTATCAAATGCGAACGATGACCCAGTTTTTTTTTGCAGACGACATCCAATGGCCCCACCGCTTCTTTTGCCATTATTTTTGGGGATTTTCTTAACGAAACGGGCCAAGCTGGGTCAGCATCGACTCTCCTAAATTCCGTCTTCATGGTCAGCTTCTCGTTCTCAGGTTTGTCAATTTCCAAATTGTTTATTTAAGCATTACTTACATCGAATGGGAAATGATCCTTTTTAGCGGATGTGCATTTGTAATACGGAAAAGTAATTAATTTGGAAGAGTCGTAGAATCGAGATGGTAATGCAACTTAATTGCACACTGATGGCGACGTAATTCGTTCGTAATGCACGGAAACGGGGTTAATTGTTCTTAAGAGAAGAAACTGCACTTGCGTGTAGGTAAAGCGATTAAATAATTTGGGCCACCGTTGAGAGATCATTAAAGATAGTCATCGCAAGTGAGCCGAGTTTCCGGAGGAATTGCTGATAATTGACATTAACTTTCGCTCTTCTTGAAAGGTACTCTTTCCTCTCTTGTACTTAATACAATTACCGACACATAATACAATAAACCCCTTACGGAACCATGTAATTTACAATTAAAGCTAGAAATGATGGAATCGCGGTTACATTTTTGAAGATTTTAATTATCGAAGGGTTATCAACTGTAAAGTTTCTAGGTAACACCACGAAAATTGGGAAACTTGAGTGAATGAAATTCTTTTATGAAGATATCTAACCAGAGAATTTATTTCATTCAGGTCTCCTGACGAATTGCCTGCTGAAGAAGTTTTCCATGAGGTCGGTCGGAATTGCCGGAGCTATCATTTTTGCAATTCCCAACATTGCCTTGGCGTTGGTCCAGCACGTCTACCAAATGGCACTGATCTTCCTATTACAGGGTATCGGTCTCGGGTTCATCATCACCATCTGCAACACGAATTTTAACGCCTATTTCGTTAAAAGAAGAGCTACGGTTAGTATCACTTATATAAATTCAAAAATTCCTTGTGGACATAAAACTTTCGGATTACTTTATATTTGCCGAAGACTGCATGTTATTATTTTATTGCGATGAAATCTCTTGTTGTTTATGCGTATAGGTAGCGAAAATTAATAACGGTTTTATTTTTTTAAGGTCATGAGTGCCTCCCAGGTGATCATCGGTTTGGGGGGCATTGTTTACCCCATTTGCATTGAAAGAATGATGACAGCATTTGGCTTTCGCGGTGAGCAACTCTACGAATGACGAAAGTCAGAATTACTTAAGACATTCGTAACATATACAATGACTACTGTAATCGATTAATCGATGCTCTCTTTACGCTTCCTCCTTGTTTACTCGTCAACGTCAAATCTTAAAGCGTACATACATGTACATGAACACCTTTGATTAAATCGATCCTATCTTATAGATATTCAGAAGCCCCAGTTTAACGTGAAGTATATTTGAGGGTAAACATTGATAATGATAGAGATATCGATAGTGACGTACCGCATCAGTTTACAACATCAATTGACCCATAAATGTCACAAGAGTGGCAGGTCGAGGCAATTACACGAAATGTAGAAAATTGTCTCAACACTTTATTTATATTCTAACATTATATTTCTATGGAAGAAATAATTTTACACTTGAAATTTTGTCTTTTCAACAAAACCGTCTATTATCAATAGTGGGTTACAGTATATAGAATATAGAAGTGAGTGTCATACGGCATAAAACATTGTACACGTGGAGCAGAAATTTAGTTAGAAAATTTTCTCGAAATGTCGTGATCGGTCGGACGTTTTTGATTTCTCAGGCACCGCCGCGATGACGGGAGTTTTGAGTCTCCATTGCGTCGTCGGCATGACGATGATGCATCCGGTGGAATGGCATTTCAGGGATAGACGAGAAGTCCTTCGGGAACGAGCGGCTGCCCGAAAATTGTCGAAAGGAGAGCTGGACGGAAGTCGAAGATACGACGAGGTCGGAAGACGCAGCATCGATATCTCCCAGGCCAATTCCCGAAGGACCAGTCTCAGGAGTCTGAAAGAGGGACGGATACAGGAGATCCCTCTTCTCGTCGAGACTCTCAAGGCACGCCATTGAATATTCCCTCGACGTTCGGGAATTTCTAACTATTGTTTCACGGTGTCCGGGGGAACCCAATGTGCCAAATTTAGCGTGACTCTCTAGTTGAAAATTTTCTAATTGTTCCAGACATCGCAGAGTCGAGTGACGTCGTCGTCGGACTTGGACATCGGTGGACCATTTCGACCCAGGACCAAGTCCATCACGGCTAGGGATGTCCTGAAGAAGAGGCTGTCGATCCTCTCGGCTTCCAGCATGACGAATCTCACCAGCGTCGGGGTTCTAGGGCAGCCTGAAGTTCGCCGACAATCCGAAATGGAGAACAAGTTCGACTCATCGTCGGCTAAGAAATCCAGGACCATTCTGTGAGTATTTCGCCTCGACTTTCCGCGTATCAGGAATACCTCCCTCCGCTCGTGCTTCTTTCTTCTTAACTTCGCAGGACCACATTGGCGGATTTCTTCGAGGTTGGGTTACTGAAGGACTGGGTCTTCCTGAACTCCTGTCTGGGCATCAGCTTCGTTTTCACGAGCGACCTCACCTTCGCAACCCTTTTGCCCCTGATGATGACGGATGCTGGATACTCCAAAAGTGACTCCGCTCTGGCAATTACAGTGGGTGCCACCGCGGAATTGCTTTCCAGGATCCTCCTGGCAATTTTTACAGTTTTCGTCAACGCAAGGGCCAAGTACATTTTCTTCTTCGCTATGGTTGCCATGGTTTTTGCAAAGCTAGGTAAGTTGGAATCGATAATGGACCAAGTTGCGCGTTCCTGAATTGTTATTCATGTACATATCTTCCTGTAGAGCGGAAGTATTAGCCAAATGTATTTCGGCCAGTTTACCGAAATTTCGATAATTTGAAGGAAATCATTTTTATAATATACAGCCTTCCTGTATCTGGAAGACACCTTATCAGGAACATTGGTGTCGATAGCAGCGATTGGAGTGGTGCGTTCGTGGTTGCTGGTTCCTCATCCATTGGTCATTGTTGAAAATTTCACCGTTGACAATTTCGCAGCAGCGTATGGTGTCTTTACGGTTGTCAGTGGAGTAACATCCATTGTCTTCGGACCAGTCGTTGGTAAGAATTAAGACTTATTTTAGATTTCAAGTTACCCGACACGTAGCGAGTCCATTGAAATACTTTGTTCGTGATTTTTGCATGGTTTTTCAATTTTAGGGTACATAAAGGACTGGACGAACAGTTTCGACGTTTGTCAGCTCGTTCTTGTTGGTCTGAATTTCTTGTTCGTCGTGCCATGGATGCTGGAATTCTTTTGGGTGGATTTTCTTCCCAGAAGAAAAGATAAAGATGCAAAGCAAGCTCCAGGAGCTTAACACGTCATACCATCGTCAAAGAGATCTTGTACATACGCACATTGTTACTTGTGCACTGGCGGTCATGAATGACTTACAAGTGTACATGGCGGCAAGTTTAAATCCACGAAAATGTTGGGCGGGTACGAGTGGGTACGCGCTGATTATCTCATTAAAAATTCTACCTTGCAGCTAGTTCGCGGATCGGTGCCATCTTTAGGGGATGGCACCGTTACAAACGTTATGTAACGGTTATATTAATGTCACGTAACCGTGTTTGGTGGGTTGTTACTGTTGAAGAGGGATGTCTCACGGAATTTCCAGAGAGTAGCAGAGGGAATCCTTACCTTGGATTATACATCGAGCACCAGGTGACGGATGGATACTCTACGAGGTCTCAACCTGAAGAAACGAGAGAAGGAGCTGACGACAAGACTGGTCAATTTGTTAATATTCTTTTAAACGAGCTCAAAAATGTATGTACTTGCGGTACCTGAGGTAAACTAAACTGTAAAATAATTAATGTAATAAAGCAACTTATTGAACAATAACAATGAGTATGTTTAATTAGACGAACATGTCTAGCGAACCCTCTAATTGCCTATTCCTGATCCTTGAAAATCACTCGTAGACCTAAGTTAATATTAATTTCCTTGCGTTCGGAGAAAACTTTGCGTGCCACCTCCTCGGTTGTCCTGTGATCCTGTTAGAAATCGGGAATCTCAACCCCTAAAATTTTTGCCCGGGAGAACCTCCGTGCCACCTCCTCGGTTATTCTATGATCCTGTTAGAAATCGGAATTTTCAACCCCTATAATCTATACCCGGGAGAACCTCCGTGCCACCTCCTCGGTTATCCTATGTTCCTGTTAGAAATCGAAAATTTCAACCCCTAAAATGTATGCCCGGGAGGACCTCGTGCCACCTCCTCGGTTGTCCTATGATCCTGTTACACCTCTGAAGATTTCTAACAGGCACGGTGTTTCTCCCGAGCAAAAATTTTAGGGGTTGAAATTTTCGATTTCTAACAGGAACATAGGATAACCGAGGAGGTGGCACGGAGGTTCTCCCGGGCAAAAATTTTAGGGGTTGAAATTTCCGATTTGTAACAGGATCATAGGACAACCGAGGAGGTGGCACGGAAGTTCTCCCGGGCAAAAATTTTAGGGGTTGAAATTTCCGATTTCTAACAGGATCATAGGACAACCGAGGAGGTGGCACGGAGTGTCTCCCGGGCAAAACTTTTAGGGGTTGAAATTTCCGATTTCTAACAGGATCATAGGACAACCGAGGAGGTGGCACCGAGTTTCGTGCCTTAAAACTACGAATGAATTTCAAGGATCAGGAATAGGCGATTAGAGGGTTTGCTAGACATACTTGTCTAATGAAACGTACTCATTGTTATTGTTCAATAAGTTGCTTTATTACATTAATTATTTTACAGTTTAGTTTCGCTCAGGTACCGCAAGTACATACATTCGATCGAAAGTTGATTGAAAGAGATCACTCGCATTTATTATCACTTAATCGGCTGAAAATATCATTAATAAAGTCGATCAATTTACGTAAATCGTTTCTTCCTTGCTTCTGTTTCGAGGCTCGATCATTATTCTAAATCCATCAGTCCTTTTTAGAATGATGTCCACTTTCAGCTGGAACTCTTCCTCAGTGACGTTTGATTTGATCCTGTAATTTCTCAGCACCGTTGACAACAGGACTTTCAATTTCAACATTGCGTATTTTCTCCCTACGCATGACCTGCGCCAGTAAAAAGTTCGGTAAAAAATTGTATGGTGTATAAAAGATACATTTAACTGAACATCCAGATGAAATTAAACCTTAGTTAAATTTGGTTTGTTGAAAGTACGAACGAAAATAAAAGTCATATATTAAGTTCCCTGGGTATAAAAATGAAAATAATATATAGATTAAGAGAGTTGGCTGAAAATACATAATACAAAATGAAATTTAAGTTTACCTGGGTCCTGCGCTGAATGGTATGTATGCATAATAATGCCTTTGTTGCATCTTTTCCGGCAGGAAGTTGTCAGGGTCGAACACCGTAGGGTTGGAATAATATTCGGGTAATCGATGTATTTGATACTGGGGTATGATCACTGTACATCCCGCGGGCAAGACATAGCTGGCGCTTACTATAAAATGAGAAAATAAATCCAAACTCGTTAGCTACACGTTTTAAACGTGATGAAGATGTGATCTGTACCTAGCTTGACGTCTTCGTTTAACTTTCTTGCAATGGCGGGCACCGGTGGAAATAACCTTAAGGTCTCCAAGATGACCCTTTCAAGGTATTTCATCTCTAAAGTGTCTTGAAAAGTACATTGGCGATCACTGCCCTTAAAAATCTCGTCCAACTCCTCCATCACTCTGTCCTAGAAAACAAAGCGCGTTTAAATCAGATTTATAATATTCTATGAGATATATAAGCTGCAAATATGAGGAGAAAAAACAGAGATATTTTTTCACCATTTTCGGAGCTTTGAAGAAGTATTCAGAAGATTAAAAATATAATTCCAGGTTTCGGAATGGTTATTCTACCATACCGACGATTTCATGAGAGAGTCAAAAAAGAAAATAAAGCGAAAACTATCTTATCCGTGAAAAACTGTCAAAAGTGTCAAGTGTCAAAAGTTGTGATCTATAGCCAAGGGCGCGTCAAAGCTGACAGAAACTTAATGAGTTATCATTAAACAATTTGAAAAGTTCCTAGATATTTATATTGTTATTCAAATATGGGGGATGCAGGCAAAGGGAAGAAAATATTTACGAAAATGTGTGGAACTTGTCACACCACTGAGAAAGGAGGAAAACACAAAATTGGCCCTAACCTGTTTGGAGTCATAGGACAAACTTGCGGTAGTACGTACATAATTAATATAATTGACATGAAATTGACATATGACGATAGAAAATGTATACAAATAGTAAAATAAGTAAAATAAATAAAATCACAATAATGGGAATTTTTTTGTCAAAAACTGACGGTTTTTAGCGGCTCCTGGTTTCGCGTATTCAGATGCAATGAAGAAGAAGGGCATAACGTGGAGCGAGACAACAATGGACGAGTACCTCCAATTTCCAAAGAGATTTGTTCCGGGCACGAAGATGGTCTTCATGGGTATTAAAAAAGAAGACGACCGTAAAAACCTTATCGCCTATCTGGTTTCGCTAAAGTGAATCCGAAGTGATTAGGATCGCATCCACCCCGTAATATTGAAATTATAATTCCGGATAAGAATGTTGCCTCGGGTCAATACAGTAAAGTTTTCTTCTTTATTTTACCCAGCTCCTTTCTTCTCTCCCTTTCTTCGCATTTTTTCCTTTCCTTCGTACTTACCATTGGCGGTATAATCAAAGAGATTCGATAAGACCGCACCGTAATTTTATAGTTTCTCGTTAAAATTGAAATCGGTACCTATTTCTGCACTCATTTCTGTTTATAGAACTAAAAAATCATCCTTCTCGAGATATTCGTTAAATAAATATGGAACTCACTTGTATATCTTGATGAATACCCAAAACGCAAAGTACGAAACTGGATCCAGCTGCCGTGGTGTCGTGACCCTGAAAAATGAGACACGTTTATATACCAAATTGTCTAATTAGTCAAATTTTGTAACAGAACCTTCGAAACTTTTTTTATTATGTAGAAAGGATAACTTATTAGTAATTAACCTGACCTCGAACATGATGGTGTCGACTTCTTCTTTAATTTCCTTATCAGTGAGCGCAGATTCGTTTCTTGACAGTTCCAACAATAGATCCAAAAACGCGAGCCGTTTCTTTTCGCCTAGAAATACGAAATGAAGTTGAAAAAAATATCTCGTAAATATTGAAAATGATTTCTTCTATACTCAACATTGAAGATATTTCTTTAGGACGTACCCACGTCATTTTCATCGATTTCGTCCAAGTCATCTCGAATATAAGGAGACCTGATTTTGGGTTCCTTCGCACTCTTGTCCAGATTTTCCTGATTCGATCCTTCGTTCTTCGCCATTATTGATTTGCCTTCATCAAGTTTTTCTTGCCTCTCGAGAAATTCGGCTTTTCTTTTGCCTATCACTGAACTTGTTAGTCCATGAATAATGCCAAGTAGTTTATCTTGTTTCTTCGATAGACTGGTACACTTGAAGAGCGCCGAAGTCCTCAGAATTACGTTGTATTGTCTTCGGTGGATAATATCGCACATACTGAATAAATTGTAATTATTAGTCCTTCATTGAATGACACTTGATATTCTTGATAGGGAATTTAACATTTTAATTTGCTAACTCACTCCATAACTGCCATGGCGTAATCGAGCCCAGTTTTGTCCTTTTTCGTCCCTTTGATGCCCATCGCCGTTTCCAGCAGAATGTCAACAGTCACTCTTGACAAATATTCATGACAGTCGAATTCTTTCCCCACTTCTTCCTTCAGCCTTAAAACTAAATCTCGGCTGTTCTCGTAGAAGAGGGGCACGAATGTTTTCAGGATGTTCAGGTGAAAAGTCGGTGCTATGATTTTCCTGTGGGACCTCCACTTATCTCCTGAACTGATAAGCAGTCCTTCCCCTAGCCAAGGCTTGAAAAATCTTTCGGAAAAACCGCAGAAAAAGGGGATTACTAAAAACAGCGACTTTGTTGCAATTTAAAAGACGCTATATTAAAGATACACGGATAAAGGGCGAGTGACTTTTAACGTTTGGCTTTTGCACATCCTCTAATTTATATTGGAGAACATGGAAAACTGAATAATTAGTAGGGGAGTGAGCTTATGATTAATTAAATATATAAGGCAGCAGAGAATTGTATCTTACTTGTAGTCGACGGACTTTTCGATGTGAATGGGACTGCTCAGGATAATCTCGATATCGCGAGGGTCTGCTAAAAAGATATAAAGCTTTGGACCGAGAAAAGCCCTGACGACATTTCCGTATTTCGTGTATTTAAGAAGAAAAGTGAGAACATCTTTCGGTTGAATGGCAATTACTAACAATATGTTACCCAATATCGGAACAGTGGGTGGACCTGTGAACAAATGTTAAACTGGTTTGTTATTTACCATTTCCACGTATAAGATATTATTTGTAGTATTTGTATGTGCAGCTTCAAAACTACAATCAAACTTTAGGGAATCCGTAAATAAAATAAAATTACCGAACTCAATTAGCACGTCATACTATTGCGATAGAAGTGAGTTAACCGTTGCTTAATTTGACTGACGATTGCAATTAACGCTTACCGACGTTAAAAAAGTTGTAAGAAATGATATTAATAATATACCTGGTATTTTCTGCCCCATTCGGACAATTCTAGACGTCTCGATATAATAGTAAACAGTGCACAAAGCAATGCAAAGTGATAGTAGAAGATAAAAAACTGCAGTAGGTATGTAGGACGAAACCATGGGAATGACCTCCATTTTGTTAGGAATGAAAACCACAAATATCACTATAAATCACTGTAAATAATTAACTTCGGCTTCAATGATTAGACTCGATTTGTATATTTTTTATCTCCCGGCGTGAACAAATTTTTCGTTAATTTATTCTGAGGCAGAACGCGGGAGTGACGTTTTTCTTGAATGAAAAATCTATTTTTTATTAGTTAGAAATGGTTAATCTGTTTTCGCGTTTCGTCGCTCATGCTCCCTTCGACTGATCACACGCGGTCGATGTCGATTAATCGAAGCGGAATGATCGGATGGGTCAATCGCACCAATAACAATGACTTTCTTCGCCATTTGCGGGGTCTCTTATAAAAGCGCATTTACTCCCAGGGAAAATTTTGTTATACGTCGTAGCGATTATACGGTGACCCGGCGCCAGCGAGGTAATATTTGCATTGTAAATCGACATTCTGCGACCACCTCGAGTAATATATCGATAATACTAAATCGCGCGTGCGGCCGACTCGACGAGTGCATCAATGGCGACGAAAAAGGTTGTTGGTATGCCGAATATTTACTGCCCTCGGGTCAACGCAAATTTTCACATATTTTAATATGCAAATCGAGCCTTGGCGGAGTCACGATGCAATCCTATAATTTTTCGAATGGTTTTAAAATGAAATTCAATTGTACCATGGAAATGTCATGGAAAATTATGGCGGTTCGACAGTTCGAGTTAAAATCCTTAAACAAGGATTACTAACCGATTAGATTTAATCGCCGAAATTTAGATTGTTTCCTAAATCTTAAACTTCGGTTATCCAAATTGTTGTCGATGCAACGCGAATATTTCATTAATCTGAAATTTAATAACATTAAATTGAGGAATAAGTTCCTGCCGCTTTTAACGTAATGTAACGTAATTAAAACGGTGGGAATTTATTTCTGAAGCTAATGGTTTCGAAATTTCGTATCAATCACGGTGCAGCTGGCTCTATGGTAATTTTTGACCTGAGTTAAATATAATAAATATTCCCCTTGAAAACTTGAATAAATGCAAAATTATAAAGTGGATGATAAAAAGCGGGCCTTTGAAGGGGTAGTAGATCGCAATCGCGGAAATCGAGCGTTGAAGCGAGCTCGAATAACGAGGTTTCTGATCCGTGGAGCGTGCGCTCCACCGGAAACACCGGGCGCTCGGCCGCAACGGAAATGACGCGGCAAAGGGGGCACGCGATTGGCCGCACGCGCGCGCCACCCCCGCGACGGCCGAGCGAGACCGGAAACTTCCCCTCGAGCGGTCGGGAGACGGAAACGAGAGAGAACCGACTCCGGCGTACCGGTCCGAAACCAATTTAACGAAATTACGAAATTATCGATGAGCGTGCACTTATTGGGGTGCGTGCGCATTCTTTTTCCCCGAGCGGACTCCCCTTGCACTTTAGTCATTATTTCTAGTAAATTCGGCGGGCCCGTAGGCGTGACTGGGCTTAACTAAAAAAGATTCCTAAATTCCCGGGAAAATTGAATGTTACGTGCGGCAATTTGCAATTAGGATACGCCGTTCTATTGTTCCAAAACGCGGTAATGCTAGGCCCGATTTAATCGTCCCCGATGTTTGGATAAACTTTTATCTTCCCTTTTATGCGTCTAGGTTGCGATTATTATACACGTTTAATCTTATTATCTACACTTCTTAAATTATGACTTTTCTGCCCTGCTTAAAAAAAAAAAGAAACATTTCTATGGGAGAACGCGTCAATTTCTTTTTTGTGTGACAGATGACAACTTTGTAGCAACAAATGTAACAGTTTTTAAGGGGTGCGCCTAGCAGGAAGCTTTGCGAATAATGCATAAATAGTAAAGTATATTTTAAATACTCGATAAAAAATACAAAGTACAAAATAGTCATGTCACAGTACATCTCGTAAGGATTGTCATCTTAATTAAGGCACTGATATTTACATTGCTTTTCATTATCTCTAGGGTAAGGTCTATCGACGGTAATCAGAGTTTTTGGATCCTCCCCAAGATTTCAAGATAATCGTTCAAGGGAAATGGTACATTGCATTGCAGACATGTTTTTTACGCCTTAAACCGGAACTCCATCCGAGCACGTGCTGTGGTTTGCTCTCGCTTTCGTTTAAACCGCAAGAGGAATATCTGAGAAACCACCAGTCTCCATGAATAATTTGAAATATGAAACGAAACAAACCGAGCCACTCGCAATTACCGAATACTAATGACGACTCAATTTTCAATTGATAGAATTGAGAGGAATTACATTTCACATCGTATAAAAATAATTGTTAATTTTAAAATCATTGCGTGATAAAAATGTAAATTACAGGAATTGTCTCACTAATTTCATCGAATTTTTCGAATCTTGGGCAGGATCCAACTTAATCCGGTAACTTTGGCCGCAGTTCGAAATCTCCCAATTTCGAGATTTCTCGATGACGACCCGTTTTCGTCATCGATTCGTCATTGTTCTCGTTCTATCGAGGACTTCCTTATTTACGTTATAAATTTTTAAACAAATCGATACACCCAGTTGAGAAGTTGAAAATGAACGATTGATCCCTCAGATGCCATTTTCAGATCGCCTTAATGACACTTTAAGGCACAACGATAAAAGATTATCCGAGCGATATTCTCGTCTTGAATGTGAGTTGTAGGCGGACGGTGATAGTAATACTACGATATAGTTGTATAAAAATCGCAATAACGATTATGATATCTCCTAGTCGTCCATTTGTCATTGGTTCGAGATCTTGACATTGTCGGAAGTGTATTTCTTAATTCAAGGCCATTACGGAAATCGTCATGCAAATCACTTTAATTGTCATCGCTAGTTTCATTGTTGAATGCAATCACCAGATTCCGATTGAACTATTCCTTGATTAAACTCGCCTGGAAATAGTCAATCGGAATCAGGCAATGATAACAAATGATCGTAGCGATTTGTTATTCCGACGTATCGGAATAATGACTTAAGGTATTTAATGATTAATTACTATATGGACCTTACTTATACGACGGATATCGTGTGTTAAACCAATGCTATCGCACGATGACGATGGAATGACGATAACGATCAATAGTGGATGTCCCAGTCTTATCGACGAGTTAAGGCACTTAATATTAAATTATTTATATCTGAATATATCGAGTTATGCAATGACAAAATGTTTACAATATTTACACGGACATAGTCAAGTCATTGTAACCTGATATATAATTGTCATCCTGAGGTTCATCTTTATTCCTTTGTCTTGACAGAGTCATCCATGGTAGATACGTAGTCATCATTATTCCAAGACAAAGGATTAAATAAAATTATAATACATTTTTGATTAGGCTCGATGTCAACCAGTTGGGTATGAACGATTACTATACATTTTAAACAAACGTTTTACAAAAATACATTTTGTGTACCAATGATTTAAGATTGTTGACGACATCCCAGGATGACAATGTCACGAGGAGGAAGATTAAGGCCGTAAGTACCAGCGCTGATAATGAATTAAAACATTCAATGGTACATGACTCGCAGTCATCAGATGTAGACGACGCATTATTCTTCGTATTTATGTACGCACCGCAAAACTATCATTGACTTTATTATTCTCATAATTAAACGAGGTCGCTGTCGAGTTTCCGATTAAAGTACTTAACGATGAAGATCAATGCAAATCAGTCTTAACGCCCCGTTGAGGCACCAACTTCAAACACTTGTCAGTACTAAAGGTAAGATTTAATGACAATTACCCATTTCGAGGCGGTGATGATTTTTCCAAATGACGATTAAGGTTGTCTCTATCAGTTTTCACTTTCGATTTAAGGCACTCGAAATGCTCTTAAATTAATGTCGCGTTGATGAAAAATTCGTCATTAATGGAAAATAGAAAATCGAGGAAGCACCAATCAGGCTGAATTCGTCGAGGAGACGATGGAAGTACTTTTGGCTTTAAGTACGGGGTTTTGAAAAAAGTCGAACCATCGTCGATGATTTCTCGTGTCTTTGGTGACGAATGTTCCTTTGGTCCTTTGGAAAGACAAGACAGGAACTTTGATGGCCCACAATTCGCTGATAGTTTAAATATTTGTTATCAGCGACGACAGCCTCACGCCCTGTCATTCCCAAGAGATGATTCCGTGGCCAATATATCTGTAAATATTAAATAATCTTGTAAATTTTATCGCACGGAATTGCTGTTTAATTTTAAATATGGAAAGCAATTATGTAAGCCTACGGATAACGTCAACACGACTTATTTTTTATTAACGTAAAGCACTCGAATAGTGCTTCCTGACATATCTTTAAATAAAGAAAAAAAAATTCCGCGAACTCGACATTAATATCAATTTCTGTTTATAAACATAAGTCGTCCGTAAAAGAATGTCCACCGAAAAGAGAGCATAATTTCGTCGGGTTAATTGGCATCATTGTATGCAAATTCGACGTCGGCCGTTCCGGTCGTCGCAACCGACAATAGAACGATTGTCGTCGTAGGGAAATAAAAAAAAAAGTCTCAGGACTTTGGGAAAGAATTTCTTTCCGACACTTTGTCAATCTCCGAATTAAGCCGACAGGATTTCTGGCGGGCTTGCATCCCCTCGGGTGAGTTTTTGCATTCAGGGTTCCGGAATTACCCGAAATTGGTATTTCCCGAAAGACCGTTGGATCTTCCCGGATTTCGGGATCTCCAGTCCCGGCTAAAGGAGGGTCCCCCGAAAGTTTACTTCCGAAAAAAGGGAAGAAATCCCGCTTCCCTTCGCGAGATTTCGGGAATCACCCCGTGACGATCGCGCCAGGGGTAGATACCTTTGTATCTTCGGGGCCCTTTGTCGTGGCTTCAGGGTCTAGTCCCAGTGCACGTGGATCTTCCTAGATCAATGTAGATGTTCATTCAGCCGATCCTTCTCGTGTGCACGTGGGATTTTTACCTGAACCGGAAAAATTCGTTCGTTGCGCAGCTCGATCGTTGGAGAGTAAAAAGACGGACTCCCTTTTTCGCAAAAGCCCGTGGGAAAAAGGGATGACATGATTTTCGCGACACTACCTTAACAAGTAATTAAGGTGGGGTAAAAGTGACGCCAAAGAAACTCAGATAACTTGGAGCCCGTATAAAGTGTGTACTTTCCGTATCAAAATTTATCGAAGATTCAAGGGTCTCGTTACTTGTAGTGTTTAAACTCATCAGACGAGCGGATAAGAAAATCGGAAGCCTGTTCGGCACGAACACGTTCAAGAGCACATATGGTCCAAAACTTGTAAAGAGGTCCGAAGAGCCCTTAAGGGATTTTCGAGTGCAGAAGAAAATCTGTTCCTTCTCCAGATAGTTTACGTAGAAGAACAGATTTCGCCTTCTTTATCGAAACGCCGCAGGCTATCGGTATATAATTCTTCAAGACTATTAATTTCTTTGTACTTCTGTTAAATAACGCATCTTTCACGTTTTTTGACGAGATGAACCTAAATTTGATCGAAGTATCTAAATTCTAACCACTTTTCGATGCAACGAATTTCAAAAAAGGGCCGTTTAGTAGTCCCAAATGTGCGTCGTTAAGCGAGGGAATTATGTGTTAAAGTGCTTTAATTAACGCAAATACACGTTAATTCGGAAAAAAAGAGAGCCCTCGAAGCGTTATAAACGCGTCGGCGTTTCGTGGCAAATAGAAACTCTTGCGACGCCTTACACCGAGGGACGCCGTCAGTAATTCACGACAATTACAACGTGAGGTCATCTACGAAGTTTACGAGATGCGTCGCCGCGGCAAATTAATTTAATAAATTCCTTCCTTGGCTACGACGAGCGGAGTGTCGACCAGAGGACGCCATCGAGAACTCGACATGTTCGAAGAGCGACTATAATGTCTGAGATCGGTGGAAAAATAATTGCGATTAATTTCTCCAAGTGTTACGCAAGGTTCTATGCATATCAAATTGTTCATTTCTTTCTTTTATAATTTTGCAACCTGACCTCTTGATTTTTTGTATCTTTGTATATTATTTTTTTGAAATTCCGCAAAATAGTCACTACTCGGGGTCACGGCCATATTCTGCGCGTTTCGTCGAGCCGAAGCGCGACTATCAATCCTTTCGGGCGATTTTCGTTTATCTCGTCGAAGATAGTTTCGCTCGTTAAGTACAGCTCGGCAAGTTCGTCGAGTATTCCGTAGCTGGGCATGCGCAGGAGACAAGGAGAACAAAAGAGGCCGAACCCGGTAATTATGCTGGCAGAGCCACCCGCATGTCGCGTAAACGTCAACGCTACAGACGTATATCTTATCAATAAACATTACCAGCATGGTATTCTCGACTCCGTCCGCGCATGCGTCTAGGAAGGTTTTTCGGGATGCCGGGGTCGAAGCTTTTAGACGGCCCAAAAGGACCGTTTCGAGTGGGTCCTTTCTGCTCCCATCAGCGAACGGTGCCGTTTCCGCCGGGCATATGGCGGGCATAATCCACCGCTGACGCCGACTTTTCGATGCAGTCGTCGCGGCCCATATGGCGGCCTTTTCGGCTGGCTTTCGGCCCGTTCGATATATCGTCTCCGAAAATCTCTACGCCTCCTCGGTAGCGTCTCCGCGCGCCGCGTTGCTAAGGTAACGAGACGCTGTCACAGAGATGACGCGTTGCTAAGGTAATGACGCGTCGCCAAGGCAACGGTGCGTTTACTTCAGAGATGCGAAATTTGCTTATTTCATCACTTAAATATCATTTTATGGAGCACCGTAAATATTCCCGACTTTTGAAAAGCCATTTTTTTCCACATTTGCGATATTTTGTATAAACTTCCTGTCTATCGAGGGTAATTTTGACGAGACTCATGCACATGTCGAAGAAACGTCTTATGCACTGCATGTCTTTCCGAGATTTTTGACATCTCGAGGATTTCCGGCACATGTCCGTCCTCAATATTGGTTCTTCAGGGTGCAGGATCGTTTCCGCCGTGTACGAAGGCGCGTCCACGACGTGTCTCGACCGACACGTGTCCACCAGACACGCGTCTTCCTACGAAACGAGCCACTGGTTTCCTTTTTCATTTATACCCCGTAATTTAGTCTGGTCTTTTTCCTCATGGGTCGTTTTCTTTCTCCCTCGTCTTCGTCTTTTCCTCCACCCTTGACATTCGTTGGTATACGGGCCGCAAAGTGGTTTCGACTCTTCAAGGCGTAAAGTTTATTTCCAACGCGTCTCCAGCACGTGTCCCGCCTTAAGGACTTCTCCCTTAAAGTACACGGATTTCTACTCGTCTACCCCACGTGTCGGTTCCGGACTACAACTTGTCGCCGTTTGAGCCTCGAGTACTTCTCGAGTGCGTCGACACGTTAAGGGGTTTCCAGGAGGAAAACCTGCCCTTTTTGCGCATTTCCTTCTTAAGGATACCGGACATACACGTGCGAGCGTACTTGTCATCCCCGGCCACGTGGCTCTTGATATTCGTTACAAGTTCTCGGCCGCCATCCTGGTTCCCACATCCGACCCAAGAATTTCGATCGCAAGGTAATGCCAATTTTAAACCGACACGTATAAAAATGTTAAATCCACGAATACGACAAATTAATTACAGAATTAATCTCAATTCGTCACAAATCGATCGTATCAGGACTTTCGATATACAGCGCATAATTATTCCGCTTAACTTCACTGGGCATCGATATCACCGCCGACTTAAGTCCGCGCAATTTATCGAGTATCCAGTGTTTCGGAAAATGGTAACAATTATTCCTAAGTGTAGCGGAGTGTAAGTCACGCACCCTGCCTTTATGCCACTTCCTGCAGTTTGTTTAGGCCCAAGTCTACCAAACTGCATGTATAACCCTATCGGATAAAAATGTCGCAAAGACACAATATGCTAAATGCGTTACCTTGGAGGGTCTACGCGTGCGTGAGATGCTGTGCGTGTTGTGCGTGCTGACCCAGCCTGGTCTGCTCTTGTTCCCACCAGCTGACCACGTCCATGAACTCTCCGGATTCCGAGATCTCCTGCTTATAATAGAGCGCCCCGGAGAAAGTTTCAGGGCTGGTCGTGGTGGTCGTCGGCGTCACCTCGTAGATGGTGCATCCCTCTTCGCTGTCGGGTCCACTGCCTGTCCCCACGCCCCCGTACGGCGACATCACCCTCGGCTCCAGGTTCTCCTCGTTCTGGCCGTAATAGTCCGAGGGGGGCGAAGTCACCACCGAGCTTGGCGATAACCTGGAGAACGTCGTCTGCCCGATCACCGTCCTGGGCTCCAGGTTCTCCTCGTCGCCTGCCGACGTGGAGTTGTACAAGTCGCGAGGCGACCCGGTCGAGGGGTGCGGGGAGGATCTGAAATGAAAGGGATACGTCAAATGATAACCCCCAAAAGAGGATTTCGTCACCTTGGCCACCGTTTCATCGAATGATTATGAATTTTGCAGAAAAAAAAATTTATTGAACCTATGAACGTGTTCGCTTTAGGCTAATTTTATTTTAATTTTTCTGTTGCCTTGAGAATGATAATGATGATTTGACATAAAATCGTGCTGTTTGGTTTGTCGATTTGTAGGTAAAAGTTAAGGTGAGCACCCATTGCTAAGTTTAATGCGTTAACCGTGGTCCAAAAGTAATGAATTCCTATTGAAATGCGTCTCTCGTTGTTCTTGGCATGACTGCCTGCACTTCGACCTGCACGTTGCACATGCAAGGGTGTTACACCTGCCGGCCACGTGCGCGGTAACAGTCGTTTCCCGCTTCTTTCGTTATTATTTTTAGAAACGCGTTAAATTCTGGAGACCTTCACACCGGCGAGACGGTCTCTTTTTCTTCCATTGTAATGAAATTTTACAGATTCCGCTTTATAATCGTTATATGGTACTTTTGTAAAATTTCACCTGGCAAATTTTTCGGCTTTTTTAAAGCTAACGGAAAGCTTTTTTCCCCAGTCTAGTAGAAAAAATAATTGAATAGATCCATAAACGCCATAATACGTAATAAAATTATCGAACCTTATTCCGACATTGCGGGGTGGTTTAACGTCGCCATTTTCATCCTCCTCCCCAGGTTCGTCATCAAGAACGAGTCTTTCCCCCGAGCCGTTATGGCTGGAAGACACGACGCTGCTCGTCGGGGAAGGAACATTCTGTGAGCCAATGGCGGCGTTGGGGTCATACTCGACACCATCGGCTTCGGCAAGTAGCCTCTGTAGACCCCTAATGTACTCCACAGCCATCCTCAGGGTCTCCACTTTGGACAGCTTCTTCCCCCTATCTCCATACCCCGCGGCAACGTGGCTAGGGATGTGTTGTCTGAGCGTGGCGAATCCATTGTTGACTTGTTTAACGCGATTGCGTTCCCTGGCGTTCCTTCTAGCAACGGCAACCGGTGGGGGTTGTCCATTCTTCCCGTGTTTTTTCAACCTGGATGGATCATAAGGCGGCAGCACCCCAATGACGCCGCTTCCACCTCCACTGGAGTTCTTGGGCACTATCAGGTGAGGTTGGTTGCTAAGGATGTTGGTTTCGTTGTCTTGCAACGTCCTCAGCAGCATCAGCTGATCCTGGTCGTTACCATTTATCTGCACCCGGTTGCAAAACACCGTAACACCCATGGTCGTCATTTTGAGCCAGTTTCGTGTTTTGCGCAGCGATCGATGTCACAAACCGCACGATAACTTTGTGTGGAAGGTGTGTGTTATCAGGAGTTGGACGACCACTAGGGTGTAGGGTTGTTAGGGGTATATTGGCCCCTCTTGCACACCGTTGATCTCCCGATCTTAATACTATAATCGCGTATTGTATAAAAACTCCAGCTATGGTGGATGCTCATCAACCATAAAGACAACAGACGCCTCTGGCGTTTTTTCGTGTGATCAATTTGCAGGAGTTTTAAGGTGCCGATGACCTTTCCTTGCTGGTCGATTTAGAGTAAACGAATTACGTTTCTTGGGCTGGGTTTTCTTCCTCTGTGTTCGGTCTATTCAGCCGAGGAGTCACTTCGCCGAGGCCGGTGGCTACAGTAATGTCACTCGAGGACGCAGAATCTAATTGACGAACTTATAAATAACGCGCTCCGATCCTCCACATGTACAAAGGAGGAGTAGGGCACTCCGTCTTCGACACCAGCGGCAATTTGGTCAGTAAAGTGGGACTGGGTCATCGAGCGAAACCCCATCAGCATCCACAGGGTCCGTTGTAGATCCCGTGGTTGTAGTCGAACTTTGGAAGATCACGCCGACGACGACGGCGCTTTTTCCCCTCGCCTTTCCAACGGTTGATCCCGAATCCGTCCCTCGATGCGTTATCCTCTTCTACGACGTCGCCTTCGCCGCCGTAACCGCCGCCGTCGCCGTTTAAGTACACCATGAGGTCACCGACTAAAACGGCCTTTCACTTCCCCCCAGGTTTTTACGTCTAACTTATAAAAACACCGTGGAAGTCCGCACTGCACTATGCAAATAAAAAATCGGAAGGTATCGAAATGAACGCTGTAGAATTCGGCAACGACGGCTCCTGCCGTTCAACGTTAACTCCTCAACCACACAATTTAAGATTACAAGGAGTAGTTAGGTCCAAGCCTCGGTAGTCATGCTCTACCAAGCCACACGCAGCCACTGGTGGTCAGCACTAAATCCACCCTCGTCTTCACAGATCTTGTACCCTTCCCAGGTACTGGGAAGGGGTCCATGAACCAGCAACAAATCTCGCCGAATTAATACCAGGACCAGGTCTCGATGGGTCCCACCGATTCCGTTAATTCCGTTAGTTGGCAACCCGTCTGCCGAAATGATGTCTCCAACCAATATCCCGAAACTTATTCCGATACGATGCAGTCCGAGCCACGCGAATGAGGTTGGGATCGCGTGTCCCGGTAGTCACCGGCACCCAACACCGAAGAGCAAGCAGGCGCCTCCACCGACGCGCGCTTCGCACCGCATGGCGTCCGCATTGAGAATGAGCGCGGGCATCCACGATAGATGGGTTAGGTTTCACCATTTTGCCATGGAGGAGAACACGCCGCTACCGTGGGGAGGGGAGGAAGCAAATGGAGGGGGTTTTGAGCACGCGCCACGGCAGCCCCTCGATGGCTCCCGACTGCCCCCCGGCAGCCCCCGACAGGACCCCGACCCCTGTCTCCGGACGTCCTGGAGGCCCTGGACGCGCGCCATATGCCGCGGGACGCGGCGGGGACTCCCGGGGAATTCTGGTTCCTCTAGTGGGTTAGGAGGGTGAGGGGTACAAGTCCATACATACGCGGCCACGTACATCCGTGTCGGCATAGGGCTAACCCTAGCATGCGGATTCTGATGCAGAATCTAACCGGTGGAATGTTAAGGGGATCTGAAAGTGGCACCGAACGCTCATTTCCCACTTTTCTCTAAACTGGGTGTACCGAATCGTACAAAATTTTGCAACATGAATATGGAGACTCTAAGGTTCCGACAATCATGAAATTTCATTTGTTTGAGGATATTCAAAAAAATTTTTGTTCGAGGTAGTGGCGCGAGGTCTGATAGGCAATTCTTTTTTCAATGGGTGGTATTGAAGGCGTTCACCCTGGTGGGAATTAAAAGATTTACTCTGGGATAAAGGATGCAACTGGGGCGTTTTGCATTATAGCGATATGCTCGGGGTGCACGTGTGCTCGGAGCTATTATGCCACATAAAGGATTTGCGGATGATGGATCGAAAATGCTAAATTACGGACGTTAGAATTAGGTGAAGATAATTCGGCAGGGGACTTCACAGGAGAGGACGATTTGTCAATAAGTAGTAATATAGAAAATCCAACGAGTTCACGATTCGATCTATCAATAAATGGGTATTATCTAATGAAACTGCATTCGGGGAATAAAATTAATTATTCCTCGCTGACAGAATTCAATGAACAGGAAATGCAATATATTCGGAATATCGGTATGCGGACCATGGAATAGATCCGGTGGTTCCGCTGCAGCGCGCGGAGTCGCGTGATGCGTACCTCTTACATTATCGCTTATAGACCCGTTTTACCAATAAATGCGAGAGTAATCATACCAATTGGCGATGTGCGATCTGGTGTTACCGTGGAGTACCGTGATCGGTGCGGTGCTGGAGGACCAAGGTCGATGCAGCGCGCGGAGTCGCTCGTCCGCGCTACCTACCGCGCGCAGTACCTACCAAAGTACGCGTCATGGGATATCGCGTTATGAGATCCGGGCCTCGAAGCGCCGATCGAAGATTAGGCAGATCCCCGCGGCCGATAGGGGGGAATAAATGCGTTTCGTGATTTGCATTTTCGAAGCGCGATCTCTCCCTCCCGCGCCGCCAGGCGTCGCTGGCGCGCGCCTTTTGTTTCGCGCAGGCGCATCGCCGCTCTCGCGGTTCTGCGCATCTCGGGCAACAGATTTTCGCGCACCCCCTCGACCCTCTGTATCCTCTTACTTGTTCCTCGGCACAAAAGCCCGCAGGATGGAATTCGGCTCGCGGAAGTGTCGTGTTTCGGGGCGGATCCGCCCGGGGCGCTCCGATCTCGCGGCGCGTTCGCACGAAACGACTGTCGCGTGGGACTGTCGGCGTGACTATCGAACCATCTGAGAAATTACACTCTTCGAATGGGGTACATAAAGACGGCGACCCGAGTAATAGGGGAGAAAACGAGGTAATAATTATCTAGTACATGTACATATGGATGTCATTTGGGGAGGTAGGAGGAAACGTTTAGACCCGCTGCCGACGTCGGAAAATAAACTAGCACTAGACCGATGACGTAGAAAAATTGTATGGGGATTATTATAAAATAACCAGATGTTTTTGTTAGGACCATACCGTTAAATATCCCATCTCGCTATTCTCCCGGCGAACAATAAGCACGATAATCCTAAAATATGGCGCGATATGTGGGACAAACCGCCTGCGCTTTTTGAGCCGCTTAACTTTGATACCCGAGGAGACATACGAGTCCAAAGACGAAGAACGGTACCTAGGTACTAGAAGAGGATACCCAGGGGTGAATGCGATTTTCGAAATCTAGGCCACCCTTGACAGATCGAGGATGGGGAGAGGGTCTCGTAGGTCTACCCAACCCGTGACGAGCATTCGGGCAGACGAGGGAACGAGTACCATGGGGAGGCTAAGCCAAACTCGGAGAATAAACCTGGCCCACATATCCATAAAGTGGGGCTCGACCGAATTTATTATACAAAATACCTATGTATGGAGTCGGTGGGGCCGGTGAATCCCTTATGAGAATCCCAGTCTGGGACTTTGCTAATCCCTGTCCTAACCGGATCCCATGAACCCTCCGGTCCCATAGGGTCTGGCATGGTCTCTCCAAAGGGACGATCGTGATCTAGATTTTTAGCCAAAGGGATCGGAAATTTTACCGATAAACGAATAATGGCCCCTTAAAAGGGAGGATCGTGATCTAGATATTTAGGCAACGGAATTAGAAATTTCATCGATAACGAATGGAACGCACCGAGAGAGAATAAAAATTATTTGGCTCGAATGTAATTGTAATTCGATACGGTGCGATATCGATAGACATCGCGTTGGAAAAGGAAGGAGACGCGAAAAATCGATCGACCGAACATACGGCCACATACGTGCCTCGGAGGATTTCATAAATCACCACTTCCGTTAATACATTCCTTCCCGTCTAATACCACATGGTAACCACCCGTGGGACCAGAGGATACATCGAGACCCGATCTTGTGACGGATATCCGATATTCTGGACACGAGGCAGGCACGTTCAGGCGAAGCCTGACTATTCGATAAAGCCGAGACCAGCCATGCTCGATATTTCAACCACCGAGCACCCAGTAAACAGAGAAATGCATTTGAAAATTACAACACCGAGAAAAAGGAATTAGCAATAATATATGAATCATGTACAATTGCAAGAAACAATTATTTCGTCGAGAAGAAAAATTGATATCGTTGCAAGAGTTGCTTTAATCGTTATAAATACCCGTTCGATTCGTGGTATGTATCGAGCCAATGCATTTTGAATACACGTTTCTGCAGAATTTTTTATTCGCTCGCAGTCGGCTCCTCGATGTTCTCTGCACACGAGCCGGGCACCTCGATTATCGAAACTCGATTAATCGACTCGATGAACCGCATTCGGCTGCAACTTTCTTCTCTTTCGACGAAACGATGCCCCTGGGTCTCTCGCCAAAAGCGAATGACTTATTCGTCGTTAAAAATGAGTCCTCATAAAGAGTGACTAATATCTTGCATTAATAAGAATTAGCACCTTTCCGTTCCATAAAACGCATCGACATAAAATGTACATTCGCTATTAAGAGCATCCATTTATATCTGCCCGACGTAACGTGCATTTATTAATATTTAGCGGCAGGTCCTATTTCGACTTGGTAAAGTATCCTCGTACCGCGAAATATTTTGTTAATTCAGAGAATAATTATCAGGTTCAATGAGAATTTTTTTTCCGAGCGCATTCGTTCCCGGCGAAGGAACCAAGACTCGGGAAGGCCGTTTCGAGGAAAGGGAAGAAAGTTGCATCGAGTCGGTTAATCGGGTCTTTTCGATAATCGATACCTTGAGCCTGAATGCAGGGTGCATCGAGAACCGGCCTGCACTTCTTCTCCGCCGGCTAACGGTCAGTCCAAGTCCATAAATAAACGCGAGGCTAATTGCGGTTGCGATTATTAATTTCATACTAATTATTCTCGAGTGTCGGCGGTAAGGGGGAGGGGGTACTCGCAAAAATAGCCGCAGAAAAAAGATGGGTACACAACGCGAGCCGCGACTCGATTTCTTCGCGGCGACGCACGTCCGACGATTTCGACGCGTCGACTCGGGGAATCTTACGGCCGGCTTTTTCTTCACTTTTTATTCTTTCCCTCCGACACGCGGAGGAAGGGAACGCTTCCGCGTGGTGCACACGCGTCAAAAATCAAGGGTGTTCCGACGCTTTTGAAAATTCGGCCCTCGACGGCCCCCAAAGCGCCGTGGGAGTCGACGCACGTGTGCCCCGATCAAATTCCCGCTCCACTAGCTCCACAAAGCTCGAAACTTTCAGAAATTTACCGGAAAGTTACCCTGT